GATATATGGTATTTGGCTGATAAAAAAAAAATTATAATTATAAATAATATGATTATTATTGTAGTTATCATTTAACCGAACTTGAAAGAACAGATATTTTTGTGTTCATAAATATTAATTAAAATGTATTATTAAATTTATTAATGATTTTTGATAGTGAACCACTTTCAAAGTGTTAAAATAGGAAAGAATGCATTAGTTTCAACATCAACATGTGTGTTTTTTATTTTTACAAATATACCACTGAAGAAATTTGGGTGAAGAATCGTAATGTTTTTCTTACTCGGGGCGAAAATACCAAACTACGTTTCTGTCTCTATTTAAATACAATTACCACACACTTAAAAAAATCTACCCTTATTAACAATAAATTCAATACTAGGTTCAAAATTTCTCCTTAAACTAGCCAAAAAACTGACTGCTCGGTGTTCGATTTCATAGGGAGACAGATATACTATTTAATGTCCACTGACATTTAATCTCACTGCATACAATATGGATACGATACGACTGTATAACTAAAGATATATTATATATACTATATGTTTAAATACCTATAGTTTGATTATAGAATTGATATGCAGTAATTTTGTTAAGATCTGTATATTATTCAGATATTTGAATGTACTCGTATATCATAAGAATGTTTATAAACAAAGATAAACTTTTAAGCCCTAACTATGGACTTGTACACGAGTTCCTATCATTGGGGCTGAGTAACTTTTGGTGATTTTGATCAACAACTTTGATTGCATTGTAAGGGGAAAAGTTAATAACTGTCTAATTGTATCGTTATTATAATATTTTAACAATATTATTATAGTTATTCGGTTGTTACTATTCGCGTATATAGGTATGTACAGAAAAAAAACATTTAGGTATAAAAGAAACACAATGTCAATATTAAAATCTCAAAAACACTAGACATAGTATTATAATATACAAACTTGATTTTGAGTGCTTGGTGCGTATATAGTGTTTGTATATATAGGTATACGCATTCTATGGACAGAGCAAAAAAAAAAAAAAAAAAATGATTTAGAAACATTATGTAAGACTAGGTATAATAACATATTTCTTCGGTATTTGTCTATGTAAAAATTATTATTTAAAATGACCCTGTATGGATATGTATCACTTATCCCTTCTCCTGATCCGTGTATACAATACACTTCTATTGGAATACCGGATTCGATAATATAATAATAATATCGCGTTGCTCGTTTGTTTACCCCTGAAAACAGGATATAAATTACTACCTATATATTATTATCATTCTCCCAAGGTTAGACGAGTCCTCCAAATATTAATGTAAAGTTATAAATCGATTTAATTTTCAAAATAAAAAGATATGTAAGTATGTAGTTTTTTTTCTGTTTAATCTATAACCCGATTCATTTTAGATTTGGAGCGTTGCTAAAAATGTATTAGTATTACAATGATGTTTATATTTATTTTATTTTTTTATCTGTGAATAACTGCTCTACCAGAAAATATGCCCCGATTTTCAAGTGTATCTTTTCTAAAAGGAAATTTTTATCAGGGTGGTAATTTTGGGAGGTAATTTTTTCCAAACGGTTTTCAAAATATTTGGGAAAAATACGTAGGAAAAACGGAAAAATGTACGTACACGTATAAAAACATACAAGTCAATACGAAAAAATGAAATGATAAAATTATATTATTTGTTTTTTGTTAAGCATAATGTTTAGCATATAACGCAAATACGTATTGGCCCTTCTTCTAAAACAAATATTAAACAACTTTAAAACTTGTGGTTTCGGTTATTATACTATCCGTATTATACTTGAAATTTCTTAAAATTTGTTCATAGATTTGAACACACGTAATATATACGCATTAAATAACAAGTCGATAATTTTTAACTTTCTGTTTAACCCAATTATCTATAAAATTATTATATCGATCCATACCGCATTCTTAATTATATATATACAGGTGTAGGTATTACATATATATCTATATAGAGTATAATTAATAAAACTAATTAAAATAAAAAATATCTCGAGTATTATGTATAACCTTGTATTATATTTTTTGTCGGTCAAATATAGTGAAAAAAAAGCATGATAATAATAATTTTACAGTATGAATATAGTTTAGTTTAGTTTAGTTTAGTTTTTTTTTTTTTTTTTTTTTTGAAAAACATAACATCATATTGATTTTTTTAAATATTATAATTATCATTACAAATTACAATAATTGGGCAATTGTATTATGGGATAATTTAATTACAATATAAATATTTATACAGAATTATTAAATTTGTATTTTTTTTTCTTTTTATTACATCGTGTTTCGTGATGTATACTATTAAATCTGCACCTCTATTACAGCGATAACAATCCATAGTGAGTTTTTCAAGTGTATAAAATACGATCGACTTGCATAGCTATTATATATAATATACCATAAGGTTTAATTTGAGAGGAAAAAATTACAAATACAAATCTGAACGGCGACAAATTTCGAAATTACACGATAATTATATAGTAAAATTTAGAGTCATTATATTCCACGCGTTATATTATTATAATCTGTGAAATAATTTTCTCACGGTGGCTCGGTGTTTTGGTTTATTTGTGTAAATGAACGAAACTATGTAAGCACAAATTACTTTATCTAAATTATTATTAGGACAATCTGTCGTGCATTTTGCGATTGAAATTATTGTATCATTGTATACATTTGAACGTGTTGAAATAAAATATTTAAAAAAGACGGACTTACCTCGCACCACGGGTGGCCTACAGGTGTAGGTGAGAAGTTAGGAAGTTAGGATATAGAGGGGAATTAAATTTATACCTGCCCGCAACGACTAATCACTGCTAATGAAAAACGATTCTGAGAGGAACTCGGTCAATAGAATTGTTTTTTCAACAATGTATGTTTTTACGACAACAACGATTGTTTAAAAAAGATTAAAAGATTAAAATAATAAAAACTTTATAATAACAATAAATAAATTAAAAATGGTTGCCACTGACAACTATATTTTTAATCTTTTAATCTTTTTTAACCTAAAGAACCGGTTATTCTTCATTGTCTGAAACATTAGTAAGAATTTCAAAACTGACCTCCTCAATGCACCAACTAAAGCCAAAATGTAACAAAATAGGTCTCTTGTCATGTTTTAATTAGAACAAGATTTATGATTGAAAACTTCCTCACAGACATACAAAATATAAAAAAAACACGCATCGTAGTAAAGCTACGCTCGAAATCTAAAATACTGATTTCATCGTTTCATCAATATTAAATATAAATCATATTGCATGTCGAAATGAAAATTGATTAAACCGCCTTTTTATATATTAACCGTTATTATGTTTGAAATTAATCCAAGGAAAACAAATTGCAATCAGTAATCTTAATGAAAAAAATTTTTTTTTTTAAAAGATGATAAAATTTTAGATTCTAAGTTTAGCGAAGAATGTATTGGTTTTACGAATATGTTTATTATTTTATTTTGTATTATTTTTTACAATTTTTCTACCAAAAAGCTTATTCTGATTATCAAGTTTAGCACCTTTTCCAAAAGGAAATGTTCTCTGAGTGGTACTTTAAATAGGTCATTTTTTGAAATTGTTATTAATATTCGAGATAATGAGTTCTTTAGGTTAAAAAGAGTGAAAGATTAATTGTCATTGGCAACCGTTTTTATTTATTTTTCGTTATTATTAAGTTTTTATTTTTTAAATCTTCTTTAAACAATTATTGTTGTCATGGAAACGCACATTTTTGTAATCATTTTGCCATAATATGACATATATATTGTTGATAAAGCGACACTAATAACTGAATTTCGCTCAGAATCGTTTTTTCATTAGCAATAGTTTATCGTTGCTTACAGATATACATTGAATTCCCGTCTATATTCCACCTTCCCAGCTTCCCACCTACAACATTGGCTGCACCCACGTGCAACACCCCCGTCCTTTTTTTTATCGTACAATTCAAATCACTTACCATGTAAAATAATTTTATAGCCGAAGTTCCAGATTTTGGTTATGATATATCACTCAGACGGCCTTAAAATTGGCTATTAAAAAACATGTGTCCATTTGCTGCAGGGCCCTGCATCCCCTGTAGGGCTATTCTTGAGGTTAATCCGGCCCTGATTAGGATAGAGGTACTACCTACTTATAATTCATGTCCGAAAAAAATAATTTTATTAACTGATAATTTATATTAAACGTTTTAATACATTCATCTCTAATTAACAAAAAAACAAGAAAGATTCTTTGTTTTAGAGTGATGAATAGAGTATAAAGAAAAATCATAATTTTTCTTTAATACGACTTTTTTTTTACAAAATTGTGCGTCTTTTTCCTGGCCACCGTTTTAAATAAGTATCAAGTAAACAACTAAAAACACAAAATCTCTGGTACATAAAAAGTACTTATTTCAAGTATAATATAAAATCAAATAATAATAATAAAACAAACATCAACATCTCGTTTATTTATACCTGATATAATATTATGTAGGTACCTAAGATTTTTTTTTTTTTATTATGTACATTACATACATTTATATTTTATATTGATTTATTATATTTAGCTGTTGTAAGAAATGTGACTATACGTGACAATCACATAACGGATTAATCAATTAAAACGTTTAAGATGTCGTTATTAAAAAAAAAAAAAATCTTATACTTTAATTTTATATACAGTTATTACATATTATGTATGAATCGGTGAAATAAATACCTATGCTAGCGCGCGCACACACATGTCTATTATGATGTCAAGAGGACAAGGTGTGTCGAGTGTATGTGTAGAGCGGTGTGGTGGTATAGAAACCGCGTGTATATGTTGTGCAGGACCTCCACGGAAAGAAAAAAAAATGTGCGCCAAAAATCGAACCGCATGGCCTGACCCTGCGAGATGAGAAGGAAAAAAAAACACACCACCAAAACGGCGTTGTAATCACCTTGGTACTTTCACAAAACTAATATTATATGAACAGAATCGCGGATCCCGAGAGGTCCATTCATTTCTGAACCGGTGTTGTGGTTAGGTTAGCGACGCACACCGAACGTTAGTAAACAAGACGCGTGAGTTGTGTTCCGATATTCTTATTTTATTCTCTCTCTACTACTCCAACGAAACGATCAGCGCCTCATCGGTTACAAGGTAGGCAAATCATTGCACTTTTTTTTATTACTATTACTATTTATTTTTTATTACAATTTTTTTTTTTATTTTAATAATACGAACATTTATTTCTTTGTTCAGTTTACTATTTGGTTTTAAATTATTTTGTTTTTGAAATGTGCTAAGATATTGTTTATTATTATGTGTTATATACTGTACATAGTATATTATAGTATTTGAGTAACGAATCGTTTAAAACCGCATGTAAATTGTAAAATATTATATAGATAAATTTTTTTTCATCGCAGATATTAAATATCAAAATGTATGTTTGCTCTTAAAACATCGCGTACCTATACAGGTGTTGAATCAGAATACATTTCAATTAAAAGTAAATTACATGTGTTGTAATAATTGTACAAACTCGTCTACAAGTTATTAAATAATTCATTTTTTTTGGTTCAGTTAATTTCTACTGTTGTTTAAATAAGAAGAACGATTTAGTAAGATAAAATGATATAAATTGATTTTAAACGTTTTAGTTTTAAAAAAAAAAAATATCTTTAATTTTTTAAAGGAGGGAATATTTTAACATTATTGTTCAGGTACTTACATAATATTTTATAATGTTAACTTAACACGTCAAATGCCCACTGTTGGTAAATAATTCGTCAAATTCCATAAATTTTTATATACACTATAACTACTACACATTTATTATCGTCATATTTTAAGTTGCATCACGAAAAAAGTATACAAGCAATATTGAGTTATCGTAATATTTTCGAAAACAATATTGTCCAATAATTATTTCAACATTTCGTAAATTACAGTTTTAATAATATTATCATCGTAATATCGTACATATTTAGCGAAAATGGATTTCATTTCTACTGCGAACAAATTTAAAATGACTACTCTATTATAGGTGTCGTTATAGTCTTATAGACCTAACTATATAGTCCGGGCAAATAATATTATAATTCGTTATCCAATGTACGGGCGATAAAAAAAAAAATATATGATATTATTTTATAGTAGCTGGTAACGCACCGCGAGGAAAAGAAATTGAGATTGAACATAGTCGTCGTAAATCTAATTGAACGCCAATCGAGTTATTAAATGAATTTAAGAGGTAATGCCTTTCTTTTGCCAACGACGACGCAACTGTCTGAAATGTAATTATTACTGTTCGAGTCGTTATTTTCACATACGTATTATATTCGTTAAGCGAAACCTAAACAATCATATTTTTTAACGAACGCTAAATAATATTACTGCGTTTTAAAGGTGTTAAATTTAGACCGTACGTACACGTTTTAACGATTTCGCGGTTACAACGAATGTTATTTTTCTACAACTGATGCATGTACTCGTGTACGCAGGTATAGTGAATATGACACAACCCACGCATAGGCGATATCCAATAGATATCCAAAACAGATATCCAATTAAAGTAAAAGTTGGGATAATATTGTCTGTAGGTATCTACATTTTTTTTATACGTGATGAAAAAAAAAACCGTAAAATGTAATTCTAAATGTAATATAAAATGTAAATTTGTAAACAACGTTCGATATTTTCGCAAACAAATCTTTTTTGGGGGGTGGGGGGAAGGGAGGGATTTTTAATAACATTTGAAAAACTTTTTCAGAAATTCAGAATCATACGGAGTTTTTTCCTACATTACCATTTTAGTCAACACAAATACAAATCAAATATTATGTTTCCGCGGGGTATAAACGAAACAAAAACGTATTTTACAAATAATATTCGGAAGTTCTGAACGGTTAATGGTAGTAGGTGTATAATATTAATATTATGTATAGTTAAAGCAATGCAAAATGCAAATTTGATGTACTCGAAACTATATAGATGCAATATTATAATAACACGAAACGTTATAAGTTTATATTAACGGGAAAAAGTATTAACTAAAAAAATATATATATATATATAACGAATAACGCATCCATGCCCACTAGCGATATTTCACATTTTTGTTTTGAATATGTGTATACTATATATTATATTGTACCTAGACGTGTGGCCAGATGAAGTCATTCGTTAAAAAAAAAAAAAATGAACTTTCACTATTTATTTCGATATTATAATAATAATATTATTATTTTTACTACGTAGAAACACTCGTATACACACGATAGTATTTAACATAATATATTGATTATGTTCAGATTTCTATTAAATATAATATATAGACAAAGACTACAAACTTTCAACAAATATATTATGTTTCATTATTATATACAAAAAGTGATGGGTGGCGATAAAATTGCTCTAACGGTTAGGTTTAGGAATGTGTTCAACCGTTTTAATATCAGATTCCATTGGATATTTAATCATACAGGATTTCGTCTAAATTCACTCTTATATAAATTAAATGATACGCGTTATAATTATTATTTTTCCGACTTATAAGAGCTGCAGGACAAAAAAAAAAACATTCAAACAAACTCCACACTATTTTGTTGCAGTACAATCCAAAACTTTGCCACCTTAAGTTGTATAACCTAAAAATACGTTTTAAGTGGTTAGGTTTTTTTTTTTAATTTTTCAATACGACGAGTTTACAGTTTTAGATTTTCTTTTATCCGTGCACCAGGGGGAATGCGATTAACGCGGTGCATTCCTGCACGGTACTTCAATTATATAGTATGTATCGAGTGTAGTTCGGTTAGGTCATCGGGTGTTTTTAGAGTTGAGTTTTTCGTCACCAATGTCGTCCGTATCGGCACCGGGTCGGAATATAGCTCTCGGGAAAGATGACCATTTATTTCCTCCCTCCCCCCCCCCAGACAAATCCACGGGCAAAATAGTCCCCGTTTATTATAATTTTCTAAAAGTATGCTCGTTCCGAAACGTCCGAAAGTTCAAAAAACAAATATTAAACACACGCACACATTCTGAAACGTGTGTTTTTGTATGGTATTTTTTTTTTCGATAATATTTTTCTTCGAGGACGTTACTGCACCAGTGTCAGTGCGGGCTATTATATATCTATATATAATTTATATATGTATATAATTTTTTTAGTTTTGGGCCCGGCGGCAATTCGCTCCGGTTATTGTTGACGAAATCACAGCTAATCGAATATTGTTATATTATTATGTTTGTTTATCTAAGCATCTGTGTGGCCATTAGCCTCGGGCGCCGTGGCCTGTGAAATTGCAAAATTAACCTTTCGCTCGGACACGGGTATATAGATATATTATATTCACATAATATATAACAAAAAAACATTATATATAAATTATATCCCACACACATATCTATATTTAATGCGATAATAATTTATTATAAAAATCCGATCTGGTATCAAAACGCCGAAATTGAATATCCCGTACCAATATAGTATGACGAACGTAAATTTATTATTGGGCGCATTGGGTTTACATATTCTTGTGCGTTTGTAACAAATTATCATTGTCGTATTGCACGTGAATATATTATTATGGATATAATAAATTATAATTAATTATTAATAATAAATTTATCGTTTGACTAGAGTTGGAAATTCACGAATATTCATAATATTTATTATGGTGAAACGCGGTTTATTAACGTTCGTTCGTTCATTTATTTATATTTTTACAGTTTCGACTTTCGTTTACATAACGATGACAATATTTTATTAAAATACCGCGCGGTAACTAAGATAAATTTGTTTTTTTATTATTGAAATCTTGTCGTTCTATACCTACCATAAATAAAAAAAAAAAAATTAAATTTTAAATTAAAATTAAAAGAAATAAAACTGAAAATGTTGAAACAAAAACTATAGAAACGTAGGTAACTTGGATTGATAATTATTATCGAATTTTCAAATGTTCGAAAATACTTGCCTATATGGTTATAATACATAATATATGAACAAAACTGCTGGCGAGACGACATTGACGAATGTTTTAGAACCGTTTCATAGTCATGCATCTAAATTGACAGTCGACCGACGACGACCGATGCGTCGTCGTCGTTGGGAAAGATACTGAACCAAATAATTACAGGTCATCGTCAGCTATTGTTCTGGTTAAGGACTCGAAACAATTTATAGAGGCGTTACATCATAAGAGCGTTCGTCGTAAATGTTTCCAAAAAAAATTATCAGCCTATAATAATATGATGTATATTAAATGATTAATTAGGTATACATTATAATAACTTTACGATTAGAAAATTTGATTAGAAAAAATAAATGATTTTTAGACACTCGTTTTTAAATTCGGAGCGTAGCGAGGAATGCATTTGTTTTACAATGATGTTTATTTTCATTTTATTTTTTATCTGTGAACAACTATTCTACCACCAGAAATCTTGCTCCGATTTTCAAGTGTAGTATTTTTTCTGTAAGGAAATTTTATTTGGGTGGTACTTTAGCAAGGTCAATATTTCCATATGGTTTTTAAAACAGTTGGGAAAAACTGAGACAATTCACGTGCATGTTTAAAAGAAACTTCGCTCCGAATCGTTTTTCATTAACAATAATTTATCATTTCGTACAAATATAAATCAAATTCCCCTCTATATCATACCTTGCTAATTTTTCACCTTTAACTGTAGCCCGCCTAGTAGAAGTATGTCTGTCTTTTTTTTTTACTTTAATAATAATAATTTATTCGGTTCACGTAATCGATGTGCAATTTTACTGCGATTTAATCGGGCATAAAAATCGCGCATAAATATTATTTAGTGTGGATGAAAAAAAGCGCGGGGACTAGTCGTTGGTACGCTACCACACATACTTGAAGAACTTGCGGCAGTATATATAAAACGATATAATAATAATAATTAACGATATATGTATATATCACGGTATTTCGATGTATACCTCGGTTGCGGTGACCCCGTTATATAGATTTATAGTGTGGCGATATATCTAACTACACTGCCGAACACACGTGCTTAACAAAAGTGTAATACGAAAGTCATTAAGCTCCCGACGAGAACTGTTACGGGCAGGGGCCGCTAGTTATTAGGTTATAATAATATTATACATATTATATATATAGGTAGTTCGTCAGCGTTCGGGTTTATTAGCTACATGTTGGAATCCACAAGATTTATACCGTAGGAATAAGATAAATATACCGGGAACCGGGAATAATCATAAAATCGCGAAGTCACGATAGGAACCGCAGTTTTATCAAAGACTATAATAAATTCTATCTAAACGTACGTACCCTATGTAGTTAATGTACTCTTCGGATAAGTTAAACAGTTTATGAAATCACGTCTCGCAAATGTGATAATTCGTATAGGTTGATACTCATCGTGACTAATCGATTCAGTCGTTGCTTTTCTGTCTGTGATTTTCAATATTTTCATATAATTTTCATGATAAAAAAAATTAAAAAAACAACTTAAGTATAAATATATTATCGCATCTCGTCTGTTTCTCTTACGCTCAATATATTTGGCTTCTAAATGTCTTGCATGTAAATAAGCGGCTGTCATTCCTGGTCTATTTACCTAGTCTATTTACCCTGGTCTATTAGCTTGCACCCCAACCAACACAGTGGCTATTTGCAGCACTATACCTTATGTAAAATAACTATAGACAGGTAGCCGACTCTATGAGTAAATCTGTAGCTAATTTGCACACACCAAGAGGGCATATTTTATTGTTTGGCTCACGAAAGGTATGACACATATTATCATAATGCATGGCATAAACAAATATTTCACGGGTTAATCAATACGATTTGTCTACCTCTTTGTATGGTATGACTGATGTAGGTGTACTCAATATCGATTATTGTAAGGCAGCGAGCCCTCTATAAATTACCCTTTCATTCCAAAATTTGTCGTATATATAAAGTTCGTCGTCCAGAAAAATACACAACCCTACAAGGTTATGATTTTAATAGTATTGTGTAGGAAGACCACGATCACAGAACGGTCGCGAGTGAAAGCAATGTAACATATATTACAATAATTTACAACGTGTGTATTTTTCATATAGGTACCAGACTAAATATTAATATAACGTTTGCTACTCGGGCAACATTACCGAAATTGTCACGAATTTGTATTTTTATATAATTAATTATTACTACACATCCTTAAAAAAAAAATACATTCGGTGTATACGGTGAGCACAACACACTTGTCGTCGTCGTCGTCGTGAAATATTTTATTGTGGTAGAAGAGTAGTCCCACCGACACACCGTCACGTTTCGTTCTACTATATTATATTATTATTGTCATTGTTTAGGTTATATTCTCCGCACCCGATATAATAATTGAGTAATAATGTAGACTCGTTGCCCATCACCAATCGCGAGCAAGGGAGGGTCCAGAAATTTTCATACGAGGGCAAAGTTTTATGGGGTTTTTAAATTATCTTTTTTATAAGATCTTGAAATTTCCACGTCTTGCCTACTGCAGAATTCTCTTATCGTCAATATTCCGTGTATTTTTCGATAAATTTATAATAAGACATTTAATTTATAAAATTGTAGTTTATAATATGGTTTTGTACCCGACGAAATATCACCGGATTTTTATCTTAAAAAGAAAAATCAAAGATATTCAATCTGGGTCATCCGATTTATTACATTAAAAAAAAACTTCCGATACTTCCGATCGAAAATCTTGTTTATCGAGAACCACTCGAATTTTTTTTCTCGTATTCATTCACGAGACTCGCATATTTCTGAAAACGGCCATAAGAGATGAAGCCAACTCCTTTTGATGCTAACATACATAAAATTAAATATTTATAGTTTCTCAATGAAATAATTATGCAGACGCGAACAGAATATTATTATAATAGATCGTTATTCTTTCTACATTATGTTATTTTTTTTTTATCGTGCATTTTCGCTCCTTCTCTTTCGTATCGTTTCTACATCCACCCCTGAGTGTTGTTACACACTAGTTATAACAAACACAGTATAGGTGCCATTGAATTTTGGTTCTACAAAAATGACCGAGAAAAATCGGTTATATAGGCACGCATTCTATGATGGCGTAGTTGTTTATTAGATACATGCACCGTGTGCGAATAAAAAACAAGCGAAGCAGTCATTATAATGAAATTGTTTGCGTCAAACACGTATTAAAAACGAATTTTTCCAATAACACCGTACTAATATTTGTATTATAAAACACGAATTTTGTTCTCTTACGATTATAAGATACCAAGGTTAGGTTACCTACTTATAATACCTATCTAATAGCTATTATTGTCAGACGGAGAAAAAAAGATTAAGTTATTTTATTATTATCACCGCTATATTCTCATTTGCCGAGTACACAACATATTTTTTTGTTTTACCAATACATTTTTTTTTTTACAAATACAATAATAATAATCTGTATAGGAATTTTTTCTGTATATGCGAGAAACGCCCATTTATATACTATTGGTCAGGAAATTTAATGAGAATACATTTTATTGTATGCAATTTCGGAAACGGTACGACGTCAAAAACATCAAAAATTATGTATCTGCATACACATTGAACACACATACAATATACAGCTGTGAAATTAAGCAGGTTTATTACCTATAGGTGTACAGCACGCGCCATCAGTAGTTCTTCAGTCTGGTAAGTATATATATGTGTATACGGTGTGAGCCGAAAGTCACTACATAAAATAGTTTCGTATATCGTATAGGTATATAGCAGAAACTAGTCGCTATATAATTATTTTCGACAGGAAAAAAATCTCTTAATACGCAGCGACTTGACTTTCGAAAAACGTGCCTATGTTCAGTTATACCGATAAGTACACCTATGTATTATTTTCAACGATGTATACGCACACTGAAATTGTATCTACAGGCTACAAGTACAATTAAAAGTATAATATTATGTACCTGTATACCGGGATAGATGATTTTTGGAAATTGAAGAATCTGATTTACGGTTCAAATAATGGACTTGACTTATGATAAGGTATTTCTTCGTCATGAGTGGAAGGGCGAAATTGGAAAAAGTAACGCTAAGCATGCTCACACAGATACCGCGCGGATAATGACGGACCGATATAATATAATAAACGAGATTTCGTCAATACACCGAGGAATTCGATGTGTTCGGGTCAGTGCTTAAAGTGGAAAAGAATTCGCAGGGAAATTATATTTACTGAAAATTAAGGGGCAGTCCCGAGAATTAACTAAACCTATTCAAACTTCCAGGAAATCCATCATGGAGATAAACCTCGATTACGATGAAAAGGTGTATAGCGAGAACATCCACGAGTCACAAATGTCATGTATGATAACTTTACTTCGAATACCTATACGAAAAACAATATAGAATTATTATTTGGGCAACTGCTTACAATATTCATCATCACTAAAGCCCCCCCCCCGTCTCTGTCACGATAGTGATATGACAGGGGAACCGAGTGGTCGGGTGAAAAATATTAAAATGCACACAACAAATACGACACCTAGGTATTTATAATAATATAATGTCGTTCATTAAGACGTTACCACGGTTAAAGCTCGACAATGACCATCCGGTAACAACCGTGTGCACAATCGTTTAGGTGGATGCGTACAATTTACATATATATTATGTTATACTCCGTGTATAAGACTATGCGCATGAGGAAAAACAGCGTTTTTATATTCTTAACACTATATATATGTATACATATATAGGACATGTGTTTAGACACACGCTGTATTATATAGTGACGTAATTGCTGAAACAAAATATACACGTACACACACACACACACTGAGACTATTGGATACTGCAGTAATATATACGTTGTAAATCCGTAGCATTCATCGCAAAATATACGACGACTATGATGCTACGCGAATGACCCCGTTCTTTACAGCGGCGCCCGACACGAATATTGTGTATACTTACCTATATCTATAATATTACCAACTAAAAAAAAAAAAACCACGCGAGCACAAAACACGATTCCTGCAGAGTATATGCGGCGGTGGCAGTGGCATTGCGGTTATTTTGAAATTCGAAATTCTGACCTGTGCCCTAAGTGTATATATATGATGACTAGACGTCTATATCATCATAACGTCAGCGCTAATGTTTCACGGGAAAATGAGGAAAAAATACGAAGAAACCCCAATCGACTCTAAACATATTTTTGTTTTGATAAATCTAGTCCGAGGGTAGGGCGCGAAATTTACGAGTACAAAACTGATATTAAGAAAACTACAAGGAAAATCAAAGAAATGACCTCTCCATACTCCAACTAGAACGAAAATGATACATGAATGTTTCTGTACAATTTTGATTTTGAGCAAGGTAGAAAAGTTGTTTTTCAGACAAGCAAACAAAGAAAAAACCACTTACGAGATGTTTTGCTGGGTAGCCGACTATAGCACGTCAGGTATTTACCACAGGTGAGAAAAGTCGCTGCGAATTTCAACCGGAGGGACTGCTGGATTTATCGTTGTTGAAAAACGATCCGTACATTATAGTATAGTGACTCGAAGCATCAGCCACTCACCGGCTTCAAAAACGCTATACAATACAATACAATAATAGTAATAATTTCGATCACGCTCGACAATAATAATAATAATATTGTTATCTAACTCGCGTGTTCCAACGAGTTCAGTGCCGGTAACCGGAAACCGTATACCGGCCGGTATAATGATAATAACAATATTGCAGTCTAATGAGATTTTCGCCGGGAAACATCACGCGATACGAACGAAGAACGGACGGCTTTCATAAATCATCACAGCACATGATGGCTGATGACATATATAGCCGTCCCGAATAATAACAGTAACTATACATGATAATATATATATATGATTTATATTACATTATTCAAACTTAACCTATACATACATAATATACGGACTGTGAATGTGAATTGGTCCGACGATTTCGTTATATTGGTGAGCACAGAGTGCGTGCGCGGACAGCGCGTTCGGATTGAAGAGGAAGAATTAGGATGAGCTCGTTAAAATAGAAGAAAAAAAAAGTAGATGGTTACGTACATATACATACATAATATTATAATTTTAAATAATTGAAAAGTTAATTAAACGAGTGGTTATGCAACGGAAACGGTTTTCGGCCAACAGGCCAAGAAGACTAGCAGTGAAGTGCGGCACGAGTGGTCGCGCAAATAGCAGGTTTCGAATGGAGACGAGATATTATAGGCGCCTCAGGGGTATACGGAGATAAAAACACGGAATCGAAACATCATAAACAAAATATTTTAAATATTATGTTGGCTTACTCGTCAATGATCGCGACGTTATAAAACGTCATCGCCAACGCCGAAACGTTTTAGCGAACCTCGTGATGTGATGGGATATTCCAGACGGATTGCTAAATCGAAATAATACTGTAATATTAAAACTTGCGGTCGTCCAAAAGGGGTGGGGGAGGGCAAAACGACGTAATTGCCTCCCATCTACTATTATATTTATCAACAAATCAACGAAGGAGATACCCGGTCGATATAATATACGTGTTATGGCGAAATGCCGAGGACGACGTTAATTCGAGTGATTTTCGTGGATTTCGGAAGACAATGTTTGATTCTATACATTTTATTTTATTTTATATATATGTATCAAACGAGGAAGTATTAGAAAGAATGTCCGTGAGAAGAACTTTATGGAGTAGTATCAAGAAAAGGAGAAATAAATTGATTGGACATGCATTAAGACATGGTGGGTTGCTAGTATTAATCATAGAAGGCTGCGTGGAAGGAAAAAATGCTTGGGGAAGACCACGAATGGAATATATGCAACAAATAATAGAGGACCAAGGGTGTACTTCTTATGAAGAGACAAAGAGGAAGGCAAGTAACAGGGAAGAGTGGAGAATATCTACAAACCAATCTCAGGATTGAATAATGAAGAAGAAGATATATATGTGCGCCTGACGGCAATTTACAAAGAAATGATAAAAATATAAAAGTTAGTAAATATAGTGATAACATAAAATTATGTAAACAACAATTACGAGTATAGTATTCAGTTAACATAGTGAAATAATAATACAATTAATTCGAATAGTATTATTAATTAAAAACAAAAAAAAATAATATGTGGTCCGAGTCTAAGATTCATGTTACACTTCGTTTCCATTAAAAATCTACGAGACTTGGGTCCGACTTGTATGTATGATATTATTATATTAACGTTAAGAGTTCGTTTATTAAGAAAAAAAGATTGTTATTTATTTTTTGAATCGACTCTGCTTCCCTCTCCCTTGAACAATGTCTGCGGACTCTGTGATATTATTTACTTCATGTTTATACAACATAGTGGTGGATTCGGTTTTGTTTTGTCTATATATGGTATAAAAATGCTCAAAAACATTCGCAGCAAAGGATTAAGCGAATTTTTCATCCAGCGGGTTTCCTAGGTTCCCGATAATATTTTCTATTTTTCAACGACAGTTGATTGTGGCGACGTCATTTCAATATTCAGTAGAAGCTGTAGCAGGGCAAACTTACGTATACACTTCTGAATCAAATATTTTCTACAGGCCTAAAAGGCCACACCCAATCGGCCGAAATGCTGACTCAAGACGAGGCTATATAAACGTAGTAAATGTGCCGACCTTTACGCAAGCGACGACGAGCTGCAAAAACGTGTTTTTTTCACGAGTTTTTGTGAACGGACGGGACGACCGACGACGCTCGCTTATTGGGACAGAAAATAATACAAAAATCGGATAAAAAAAAAAAAAAAACCGAACAATATCGTCGTCGTCGTTGCGATTCATAATATAGTTCGCAAACGATTGTAAACCCGCAGTGTTTCGCAACGCGGATTGTCACGTTCGGGCCCGTCGTCGTCGTCGTCGTACACCTGCACTACACAATAATAATAATATTGCACTCGTACGTTATAGATAGAAAAAAAAATAAATAAATAAATTATAATAATTTTTTTTTTTCGTCTTCTGTTTCCATCGCACGAGATAGAAATCTAGTTTATCACTGCGTGGCTATATTATAATAATATTACGATGTCGTTTGCCCGGCGGCGGCACCGCGACGACGACGACGACGACGACGAGTCGACCCGACTGCAAATATAATTCTATAATGCACTTGTACACGATGAATATACATATATTTTATAATATAATATAATATATATATACGTGTGTATACAATAATATTATTATACGAGTGCGCCGGCGCCGTAATCTACATAATATTTTATTTTATTATCATTATTATTATTGTTGTGTGTGTGTACAAACACGCGGTAAGTACATATACGCGATTATTACAAAATATCGTAAGTACGCGGCGGCGGCGGCGCAAACGGGCGTTACAATATGAGCATACCTTTGTACACTTTAATACTTACATTTACATACGCATATATATACACATGATAATAATATTGTTATTATTATTATTGAAACGCACGCGTGCGTGTTTGGCTCGGTGACGAAACCGGTGCGATTTTTCCCAGCAGCTCTCGGACACGATTTTATAGGCGTGTATATGACACCGGGGCGTTATGCGCGCGTCGGCGGCGTAATACCGCGGCCCATACTGTACACACGACGGGACATCCCTCCCTACACTCCGTCGCACTTCGCCGTTCCAGAATTTGCGACCGTGCCCGGCGGTTATGCGCGCAGCCGGTTGTAGTGTACGGGAATGGAACACGTTTCTTATCGACCCGCCGTCCGTGCCGCCTGTCGGTTTTTCGCACTCGGATACGGTTTAGTTTTCAGATTTATTTTGTAAACTTTATCGTTGCAGCCAATTCAAAAGCAATCACGTTGTTGTTGATTATTTATGTAAGCACTACGTTTTGTGTGAATATTATTATTGGCGAAATAACGAGTTACGAGCACTTACTGTATCCCTAATCAGTGATGAGATTAACACATGGGTTTGTAACCGTTTTAATCTAAATATTATACTCTCCGAGTACACTGATAAAAATCGTGCTATTACCTAGTCATGTATGTATTATTATTTATGCGTAATGTACGAGAAAAAAAAATAAACCGGCATAAATAGCACTACAGATGGACACTAATACGGTCGGTAAGGTTAAGTTCGGTCGAGTCAGTCGGAAAGGTATTAAACGGGATATTTATTAACATGCTTTGATCAAAAGGAGGTCTTTGAGAAACGATCGCTATAATTTGTTTTGTTTTTTTTTCTGATGCGAGAGTGGTCACTCAATATAAAAATAACTAAATATTAGTATTCGCTCAGAAGAAATCGGTAAGAAACGATTGAATATATTTGAAAATTTATTTGCGCATCACACGAATGATAAGAAGTGAAATTTTAATCCGCCATATAATTCGCGGGTCTTATCATCCACATGTATATTGTGATACCTGTGTAATATTGTTAACAATCACGGTTTTGGTTGCAATAGTAAATTCAACAGACTCAACAGTTATTTTGACGATATACGATATCGTAATTAAATGCGATTTTAACCGAAAGCATTAGTATGATGCTTCTGGATTATTTTATACTTTCGTTTCGTCATCGGTTATAAGTACCTATACGTGTATAATGGGGTAATTTTATTGCCCAAATATTGTCGAGCCCCCCCTCCCCCGGCCCGTAATCGAGAAAACTGTAAACCAGAAAAATCAAACGGTAATAACATCCACAATCGACTACGTCCAAAATGCACTACGATTATAGACGCATGTAGGGGCATTTAGGAGCCCTGAACCCCGAGTCATCTCGAGCTTTACCTATGACATTTAAAGGAATTTACGTCTTCAATATGTTACATTTAAAACCTGCCGGTCTCAAACAACTCCACGTATTTATCAGTCTCTGTTTACACGACCTACGGTTACGAGGTAGTTAATTCTCCGTTAAGACGTTCGACTGTACGGTCGTTTCTGGTCGAAAAGTCGTTTACGGCCGCACGCGCGCACTGATACAAAAGACCTGTCCTAACCGACGCCAAGCGGTGTGCTAGGCGTGGAACGCGGGCGCCCGGCGGGCCCACAAACGCAACCGCCGCGGGCGGGAGCCGTGCGGTCGTGCGCAATTACAACGCGCGTCCGGGGCGTGGAGGGCGCGAAGGCTTCTCGTGCGCCCGCGGCAGCCGTCCGTATTCCGTAAACTACCGGCCTTTACGCCGAGTCCGGGGTCGTTGCGTTCACCGGACGACATTCTTGGCGCCCGCCCGCCTCGCCGGAATACCCGTGGATATACGCTACTCTATATGTTTATTATAATGGTACCGCGTGTGACGTCGTTCATTAACGCGAGTTCTTGTATCCTATATGCGGATAATAATAATAATAAATACGGTACGCAGTCGGTTTTGTTATTTCACGGTCGAATCCCGGGCGATTTTTTTTTCCCTCACTTTTCCAACCGGATACCTACGACATTATCGCACGTGTTTGTAGCGCGGCCGCGGCGATACCCGACGTAATATCAAATCGGTCGAATTATATTTATCAAATAATTTCCGCCGCACCTACCCCTCGAAAAATACCGGCGAATACTTCGAAACGAGCATCCGTAGACACTCGACACTTTAGATAGATTTGATTTTCAGTATATACAACATACTGTACAGGTACTGAATGCGTAACAAGTATTGCAATACTCGGTACATTTAAAATTAAAATATTCGTTCGATTTTTCACGCACGTAATATATCTTGTAAGAGATTCGGTACTTATTAATTATTTGCAAACATTTTACGAAATTCCAAACAATCTCTTCCCCCTCGTCAAATGTTCGTCGTACAATCTTTATCGATTTTTAATATACTCTATTTTTCAAAAAGCCAGTGGAGGAATAACTCCAGAAATATCTAAGAATATCTAGGAGAAAGGAGTATCTGTAGATATTTACTTTTTCAGTACATATCGCAATACAAGATACAATTTTAAATCTATGGTACTAATATTTAAGATACCTACTTTAGCGAAAACAGTACTCGACCCTGTTCCTCGGCCTTACTTTACTACAGCTCCTACAAAATTATCGGGCGACTGTCTCTTCAAGTCACTGAACGAGAGTACATTATTGTACGGGCGTTTTGCTGTTGTAATAGTTCTGTGATGATGGGTGTCGTGTCTCGTATATGTAACGAAGAGAAAATACGACGACGATCGATCAACGTTAATAGTATAACAATGCGCACTTTTATCGAAATATTAGATATTATAGAAAATCGCGAGAATATAAATATAAGATAAATCGTAAAAATACTCGTGGGATTTTAAATACACGTAAAAAGACGTTTCCGGAAAATATAACGAATATTACATACGCGTGTGTCAGATGCATAATACGAGTGTTACACAAAAACCGATCGATTTTTTAATAAGCGTTTCTTTAATTCATTTTTCAATTCGTGTATTTATATAATAGGATTCATAATAATATAAACGACGCTTGGTTTCCCTCCCCCTCCTCTCGATTTATACCAATTCCTCGATAGTATATTGAATTGAATAAAAACTGTCTAATTTATACGATTTTTTTTTAAACGGTATATACGAGTATACATATATATATATAATTGACTAAATTCTGATTTTCTATTATATTCATCGTAATAAAATAATTCACATTATTTATTATTCAATTATTTAAAAAAATAATAATAATAAAAATATTAAAATAATAATCCTAGTGCGGAATATTGGTTTATTCGATGCAACTACGTTCGCGCATATTTAACATATTTTTACTTGCAATATATATGTTGCAATACATAATGCTAACCATAATACATGAATACAAAATATGATATATGTTTTTGTAGGTATACATGTAAAATTAATAAATAAATAGTATATAGACAGATAATAAAACAAATCCCGGAGTTGCGTGTAAATAAAAACGACATCGATTTAAAAAAAAAAAATCAATCAGATAGTAGAACAGCAAGGAAAAAAATAAAAACTTAATTCTCATAAACTTTATTCGTATACTTGATATTTGTATAATATTATTACACTATAACCTAGATATAATTTTGATCATTGCAATCACTCGCGATATTTTATTCTCTCTTGTCATGTCACTTTAAAATATTATTTCTGTCAAGTGGGCGAAAATCTAAAACCGTAATAATTGTACAAATATTTCTTGTGGTGCAAAATCCTGTAGTGTACCAACAACATTTTAGTACACCGAATTTGTATATTAAATGTATGTTACATAAAAACCTTCTGGACGCACTGTACATTTTTATTTCGATAACATTTTCGGACATATCGATGCTACACATTTTTAAATGTTCTTTTAACACAAATGTCTTTATATATATATACACATATTTAAAAAAAAAAAGAAAAGATTTACATTATTTGTGTATTTTTACGACGACGACGCGAATGTCTTATCGTGTTTTACAATGCGTACAGATATGTCGCGGAATTTCTGAAAGATTAAAGTTTACGATAAGTAAGTTATACCGACAATTTACATGCCGCGATTATACCATTGTAAGTATATACCTAGTTACTTGCATTTGTTTGGTACAGACATACACATTTTCACGTTTTTACACTATTATTTTACACGCATTATTATGTAGTTATAACATAGAAAAAAGCGTTTATAACTAGCTAGTTTCGTTGCAATCGCTTGTCGCGCTACCGTCGAAGCCGCTGTCTCGTGTTTCCCGGACTCGTTTTTCGTCACGATGACGACGACGTTGCGCACACACGCCGTCGCCGCGCCGCCATACGCGATAACATAATCAATCATCTTTGTGGACCACATAAGATTATTATTATTATTGTTATTATTATTACACTTGTCTAATTTGCAACGTTATACTTACGAGACGCGTTACGTAACACGGCCGTATTGTCAACGGGCGCATTGTAAGTACCGCCTACGTAGCACAATGTCGCGTCCAATGTGGGACGCAAAAAACCGTTTTTTGCGTGTGGGACCCCCCACCCGCGGAGAGTTGGGTCGTCGTACCCGTAATATCTGCCCGCGTACGTCCTGTGTACCGACCGGTACAATAATAATTATACCAGGCGACGTGCGAAAATATTGTTATCACGGCGATAATTGCAATATTACGGCGGGTCACACAGGATCAAATCGGTACGCGATTGCGCATAGTTATCGATCCCGTCACTTCTTTACCCGTTTCACGATTGCAAACCGACCGAAACTAAAAAAAAAAAAAAAAAGAAGCCCGACATACTGCTAATGGCCGTGCCACTGTTTTGGGAGGAAAGTTGGAAGTAGTTTGCATCAGCGATAAACCGTTTAAAAACATTTACGAGCAAAATATTATTAGTCGTAGTTTTCTTCTTGTCACAGAGTTAACCCGTCAGAAATCAATAATTATACAAAAAATTGCCAGTTTTTCCCGTTTATCAAGTAAATTACTAGTAAAATTAAAACATGAACTCCTCAATGTACCAATTAAAAATCAAAAATACTATCAGAAAGTTCCTGTACAATTTTGACTGGAGCAATATTTCTGGTGGAAAAATTGAATACAGACACACACAAAAAACGCTTCATAGTAAAACCAGACCATTTTTCGCTTCGTTCAGAATCTAAAATAGAAATTCACTATTTTCTCCGAAATAATATTATTTATTATAAACTAACTATAGAACTGACAGTGCGGTGACAATCGAATGATTTTAAAGTATATTGTCGGTTGATCGAAAATAATTGCAATTCATATTTTTCCTTATTATAACGGTTTACTTATATACTTATATACTTGTAAGTCGTAAGTATAGGTACTCATAAGTTTCCGCTGCAGGATATTAAAATATAATAAGCGTATCGCTTTCATCCAGGTAATGTGGATGTTGTATAGTTGCCTGCGGCAAACGCATAAAATAATTATACGTCTATGTATTCTATTGCAGTTTTTTTTGCAGTAAACGATTGTTGATATGATTGAGAAAAAAAAATGTGAGTATAATAAAAATACGAAAAACCGGACTTGGTCGCTCGTATAATATATATTGTTCAATGAAAGTGAATAAAAAAAAAAAAAACCCGGTCTCCTCGCGTGCGGTGAAATACAATCGTTTGATCGACTATAGTTGCTCTAATTGTTTTATACCTATTATATAAATTATACTGCATCTGTTTTATGGAATTGTTTCAGCGGCAAAACGATCCGATTGTATAATATTCAGGTTAGATATGTATACGTGTATATATATATACAAAAAAATATTACGAATATACCTTGGTATCTCTATTTGTGTCCGTATACTACACCGCACGCGCCCGGAATTCTGATGCGTATATATCGTCCCTATACGCTGCATTTATATAATATATTCTTGACTTCTACTACATCATAACATCGCATCATGGGCGCCCATTAGGGGAAAGGCGAAATTCCCCCTCCTAGGACCGGATTAAGCCCAACCATAGCCCTAGACATATATTTGTTAATATTCCCATATTTCCCAATGTTAAGTCATCTAAATGGTATATCTATATACTTTAGCTGTAAAATTATTTTTTAATTTATGATTTAATGATTTAAAATTTAAAACTTTTATGTCAAGTAATTAATCCATTTTAATATGCTTAATTTCGAAATGCTATTGCGTATTACTAGAAATAATGTAGCCCCTGTTATTGCCTAGCCCTAGGCACATGCCTACTTCGCCTATACGTTAATCCGGACCTGTCCCCTCCCACCATTGGAATATATTTAAACCTACGAAAAATTATTTTCTTGAACCTTGACGCATATCAGTCTGGACAAATAATGATTCACACTCTCGTAGTAGTATAAGGATATAGTAACATACCTATATATTTATCATACAGAATCGTTTAATATATAAATCTTACTTACTAAAGTATTAAATAATAATAATAATAATAATAATAAAAATCATAAATGGAATCACATAAATTTAAACCCGAATCTAACCTAACCTAATATAATCTACATAATATTATATATTAGATTGGTTTTTCAAAAATCAATTACCCGCATGCGTTTTTTGAACATGAATACGAAATTGAATACTTTTCCTCGTTTTATTCTTCCTTTTTATGTAAGGCTATAATAGATTTTATATTATATATTAGGTTTATAGAAATATATAGAATATATCTTATTTCGCTGGTTCATCATACAGTAAAAGAATTACACTCTGACGTATGATACCTGAATTTGCGACACTACGGTGACTTAGTCTACGTGTTCGATTCCAATATAATTTTGTACCAAAAATCACTGTCTTATTTATCATTATCACATAAATATATATTTTAGATGCTTTATTATAATATCACCAGTTACCACACTTCACACGTATATGGTTATAGGTGTACGACTTTATTGAAATAATACAATAATACGCAGCACGAGCATTTAAGTCTTAATTAATTAATCACGCATAAAAAGACACTTAAGATACTATTATTATTATGATAAACATTTTATTTTATTTATTGTCGTGCCTATAATATAGTAATTATTATTGTCTATCGATATCACCCTCATAATATACTACGAAATTGCACGAACCTTACGTCACTCGTCTCTATTTGGTATACCAAATTAATTTTTCGACAAATTTCGATTACACCTATTCTCATTATATTATGACGTATTATCTATACTTACCTATAAGTAAGTATACTTAAACTTATTACAACATTAGGTATTCGTTCGTAATGATGACAGTTATATTAACGATAATAGTCGTATTTAACTTTTCGATATTAAGATTCAAGATTGTTAATATATTGCGGTCGTTATAAATATTAATTGCATATTGGTTTTTGCCTTATTTGTTAGGAGTCAAGGGTTATTCTATAATATATTATAAGTAATAGGTTTAGGCCAAATCGATTTTGTCGAGATTTATCGGTACCACAATATTACCGTTGCCCCCCCCCCTCCAAAAAAAAAACCAATAAAATGAACAATTCATGAGTATAAAGCATAATATAAAAACTTCTTGAACCTCAAAACTATTACAAAAAAAAATTATATATATATATATAATATAACGCACTTTTTCAATTTTTGAACGTATTATATACAAAGCCAATAGCTGCACTTTTGATATATTCCAAGATTCGGGTCCTAGAATATTAAAGACTGGGACACATACGCAGTGGTTGAGAAAATATATATTTTTGCTGACATGCCTGTTTATTTTAGTCATGCTGGGAGCAAAATGTAATATGGGTGTTAGTGAACGTTTAACGCCATAATTGTTTGTAGAAAAAAAAATTCCAAAGGATTGCCGGCTGTACATCAGCAGTAGCAACCGAAGAAGAAAAAAAACGAGTTTGCAGTTATAAACTTATAAATTATAATTTATAATGACAGACAAGGTGAATAATTTTATTATAATACCGGAGAGACGAGTATCTCCGGGAGTTCACAGTAAACCGTTCACATCGCAAACCAAATAATAATTGACCTATACATTAAATCACTTGTTTTTTTTTTTTTGAATTAATTACAACACATAGTATAACACGAGTTGTTACACATTTTATCGGGTTTTTTCTTTCCCCTCGACCTCGATACAATTATTTATTTATATGTAACCTTGTCACGACGATACCGCGAGGTAGGTTTGTAAATAAAAATTAATAGTGTGTGTGCACATACATTATAATAATTATCTATAGGTAAGATAGATAGGTATATGTTTTGCCGGCTCGATATATTATGCACAATATGTTATAATACATATTACATTAGATATTGTCCAATTACATATTATTAAACGACCGCAGGACAGACGGACGGACGGACAGACAGACAGACGGGCAGGCAGACAGAGTAAATTCGGTTGGTATTTATCAGTTTCCGGGTGCGGTTTTTTAGTAGGTACCGGCCGCGACATTCCATGTCATTGAAAATTCACAACGATTATTTGTTTCGCAATAATATACTAATTGATATTATTTTTGACTTGCCTAATTAAAATACAAAATCCATATTGCTATATCTGTAAAAATCAATGTAAATAATATATTTAGTGTTAATTCTTCATTGAAATCGATGGAATATGTTTTATTCTTTATGGAAATAATAACTGAAGTATTTTTTAACTGACAATGGAAAATAAATGAGAAACGAAAAAAAAACCGTAGTTATTATAACGAGCTAATATTATACGATCATAACCAATCAGGCGGCTAATATTGTACGATCATAACCAATCACGCGGTAACCATCGTAACGTTTCAATGTTAATCGACCGCAAATCATTAAAACTGCTTAATGTTCAATCATATAATTGCAGGTTATACGAGTATTTCAATAAAAAAACATTACTGCTCAGCAAGCATCATCTTTCTCATATTTTTGGATTTTGATAAAACATCAGTCAGTTTTAAACACAAATGATAAATGTTCTTAAGTACTTACATTAGAAACTACAAATCTTTAGGAATTATTGGTAACTTAAGGAAATAGGAGTAGAAAAAACCGAAAACCCGTAATTTAAGGGATATTCGATTTCCCTTAAATTTAATTTTTTATTTAATGTAATTTTCATAATAAATGACAGAAACTGGCAGTTTTTGTGTAATTTTTGTTGATTTCTGGGTTACATTGACTACGAGGGAAATAAATACGACTAATAAATAATAGTAATTTACTCAGAATTTTTTTTCATTAAAACAGTTTATCTCTGCGTAGATACAGTTAAAAACTAAAATACTCTATTACTTATATTCTTTCCTTCCAAAACATTGACGCGTCCATCAGTAATATATCAGCATTTAAACAAATATGTATATTTTTTTTAATACTTTAATATACTTAATCGGAATACAAAATATAATATAGTCACGTAAGTCGTCGTTTGTAAGGCGACCAACGCGACGCTTTAAAACGGTAGCATACATATTATTATTACTGCAGCGAAACTAATGCATAACGTGACGAAAATTATACAATAATAATAATCTCACGTAGAAATCGTTTTTTATCAGACACACAATAATACCGTGTGTGTATAATAATAATATTTAAATCGTACCTAAAACCAATAATTATTAGGTATTACGTACAACGTACCTATAATACGCATATAAACATGGGAATTTTCAGTGGCATCCCGTCTAATAGTAATATTATGATATTATGTTAGTAAAGTTTTCGGTTCTCGAAAGAAATCGTGAAGCAAATAATCATTATTACTTACCAACAAAACTAGGGCTAGGAATGTTTTTTTTTTCAGAGTACTCCAGCCAGATAGCTTATCGAAAAAATTAAACAATTTTATGTAATAATATGATATTACATATACTTGGTCGCCTCGAATACCCGAAAAATATTCGAGTTGGTAGTGTGTTATAATTCTTCTATGACTTGTATTTGTTGTTTTATTTCGATTTTTTTTTAAATATAAACTCGACGATGAAAGAAACACTTGTATTTCAACTTTATCTTGACATCAAACATTGATAATATTATACATGATACATTTAAAAATGTAGTAAATAAAGTACTTTTTTTCAGTAATGAGGGTGGTACTTGCTCAAGACCGTCCCCCCCACTCAGAATCTCTCTCAAAGTAAAATTATTTTACAAAAGGTTATGAATTCGACAATAAATACAGGAACCTATAAATAATATCTTTAAACAGTTTAAATACTTCCATAGAGTGGCTTGAGTATTGCAACTGATCTCGTCTCGCGGGTATAATAAACGGTTCTTATATATTATTATTATAGTGACGAATGCCATAGCGAATTTGTGTTACACGTTTTATAACCTTTATATTATATTATTATTATGCATTATGTTATACCACGAGAGAACAAAAAAATGTAAAGCCTTGAGCTATACCAGTCGAAGAAAGCTCCACTACTATTATACGTATATCCAATATGTCGTAAACTCACGAGAACTATTATTAATGAACTTTTCTCTTTCTTTTTTTTTATGTGTAGTAAACGACGGTATATATTTCGTAAAAAAATAATGATAATTTTTATAATAACCGTATAATAATAATTATTATTTATATTACGATGCTATACAGTAGCGCGTATATGATTCGCGATGCACTTTTTAATTATTGCATTAGTAGGAGGCGGTGGCAGGCAGTGGTGCTGTGTGTGCTCAGTGTTCTATTTACAAATTATGACTACTGGACTTTTTTTTGAGCCATTTGACGAAATATTGAGCAATGGCAAAAAATAAATAAAAATTATGAAACGTTAAAACATTATGTACAAGGTGGGTATACATCACGTACAAAATATAATGTATTAAATTATTATTTCTTATAAGTAGGCATACAAGTATTGTAATACTATAATAATGCGTTTCTGAGCAATTTGGAATTAAATATGATAGAAAAAATGATTTTTTTCTTTTTACACAAATGACAGTACGTTTACCGTGCGCGCGCGCTGATAAAATAATACTGCCCATAATTTTATGCTGTTAATGTCTATTATAATTTTATTTCGAGCGTTTCGTAAAAAAAAAGTCCATAAAACCGTTAAAATATTACGTGGTCGCTATAATATTAGGATTGTGATTTTTTTTTTTTTTTCCGTACGTTTTATCAGCGATAGTAACAATAACGATAATATAATATATTTTGACGTGACGAGATGAGTGTGTTCGTACAGAAAAGTATATTATTGGTAATACAATATTATATAGGTAGCACATTGTATTGTAGGTCCTACAATACAACGCGGTAATTCGATCGCGACAATTTCACGTCATCGCCGGTCGGGAAAGTGGTCGTGTTCACCGGGGAGGGGGGGAGTTCATCTTACCCCGAAGGACGCGGACGCATTCGAGCGATTCGGCAAAACATTCGAATCTCCCGCGTGTCGTATATCCGATTTCCCTTTTTTTCGATCTCGCCTCGCGCAAAGTATGCAGTTTTTCTTTCACAAGATAAGCTCTATATAAAAACATCAGCTATAAGCTATACAATATATATGTCTATACTGAGGCAACATGCAGGGACGTCTGATCCGGAGCGCTACGATTTGTTGAATGTTAAAATATTGATTTACAGTTATCTATATAACTTATCAATAGAAAAACGTATATAGGTATGTTATCAAATATTTTTGGGATTTGTTTGACGTTTGGTGCGTATATTATGTTACGTTTGCATATTGCATACTTATATCGCATCGAGATAAAGTAGAATACACAATATAGCAGTTGGAATTGCATATTTATAGATGTGCTTAACTATAATATGATGTTTAATATGTTGCCGATAAATCCTAAGGCGTCAAAATTCGTATACTGTATACTATACACCACCGGGAACAGTAATCAATTATGGGTTCAGCGACGAATTGAAAATAAATAGTTTAAAAGTTCAAAATGAATATTCGCAGCTAGTGCCTAGTAGGCCTATAACTTAAGTCAACGACGTGTGAATTTCACCGGCCGTGTAGAATCCACGATGACATAATATTGTTATCTCACAAAACCGGATTTCCTAATAAAATTTCGATTTCTATACGGGGTGAGTCAAGGTGGCGGGGGTTCGCTCGAGCGCATCGAGGGATCGCGATATTATCGCACGGATATATTGATTCGTGTTCACCATGCTCGGCGGCCCGAATATGCGGCTAATCGTCGGAATCACGATCCAAGTGTTTCGCATATATAAATAGTAAATGCGACGATAGTAAATCAAAAACTATATACGATAGGATTGTATATACGCTGTCTCCCTTCCCTCCCGTGTACGTGTACGATCCGTGGAGTTCCGGCCTTAATCGTCTGAGGGATAATCGTGTCGTCATCGGTTTTTTTTTTTTTAACCGTGACGATAATGTAGGTACGATCGGCCGTCTCCCCTCGGCGAGTGTCAAGTTGAAGGCCGCCTTCGGCGCAGTCAAACGCGTGTCAATTCTTCCATGACGACTCGCTCTCAACATTACAGTGATTATGTATAAGCATTAGTATTATTATCATTATTATTATTGCCTATCATTATTATTATGTGGGCATGAATGCTGCGCGGTGCAATAGTACGGTCGGAACGGATTCTGTGTGCGATTTATGCAGTTATAAACGCGGTCAAAAATGACGTGACTCTCGGAAAACGCTTTTTCAATTTTGAGTAAAAAAAAAAAAATTATCCGCCAAACCTTTTGAAGGATTTTTACCTATATTTTTTTTATATAGATTCCCAAATGTTTATCTAAACATTAAAAAAAAAAAACTGTCCTGGGTTTTGAGAGATTCGCAGATCTGCAAATTTTAAACACAGATGTACAGATAACAGAGATGTTCGACCGCGTTTTTCGAAGCCAGATTGCGATATTTAAATATACAGAGTTTCCATTGATTGTCAGTACAATCGGTGAAAAACGCCGTTTCGATTTGTATCGGTTTATTTGCGTATATTTATCGTTTAATTGTCTGGCACGTTAATGTTTAGTTAGCCAAGTATAAGTTGATTATATGAATTACCGGTCGTGTTTCGTGTGTCAGAACAACTTCACACTTCTCGTGCGAAAATACCGAGTAATTATTAATCGCAAAAAATAATTTTAAAAAATGTATTTGTCGGTATTTTATAGCTAAGGGCAAACTGCAACAGGCCATGATCCAGGCATATCCCTCGATTGTTTTAGATTCAGAAGAATTAACTCTTCACTATAAGTAGATCACGGGATCGTGGACAAAAAATCTCCTGAAATCACGCAGATTCAGATCGGATACTAATCTTATAGTGTGAAAGGACCTTTTAACAAACGCGATTTCGAACTTCGAAATATATTTTTTTTTAAATTACACAATTCGTAAATCGGTAAAGATTTAAGAAACAAATATTGCGCTTTAGGGCTGCGCGCCTTGTCGTGGGAAGTTTTACACCCATTTTATAATAGCAGCAAGGTGATTCACTAAACGTGTGCCCCACACCGCATTACCGCGCAGCTAGTGGTCGGATATAATATGGTAACTCTAATATTACCACAAGACATCGGTGAGAGTACGTTTACTATCCTATATATTATTTTTTTTTTTATGAATTGCGCAACCAACGAAAAACCTGCTGTGAGTTCTAAATTACATCGTACTTACCGCAAAAAATGTGAACTTATATAATATATAAATATATTATATTTATCTATTCTATATATATATATCAATTGATTATAATCCCGATCCGGATTTGGTACCTATAATAAATGCATGCAACATGGATATCCTTGTTTGTTTGTTTTCTTTTGGCAGCAACGAATAAGATAATCTCGTCGAGGTATCATTATTCATGTATGACTTATTTACCGATTTTTTCTATCGTGTTTCGTACTAAAAAAAAATATTCGTATCTCTAATAATATAATATTGTATCGTATATATTACTTGTATACATGATTTGTGTAGCGCAGCTTATTATATATTATATAGTCCGCACGACCGAAAATATCGAGAAAAAAAAATCTATTGCCGTAATCGTCTAACCTAACCTACCTATCATAATGGCTCGTGATATTGATTATTTTTTGTCGAAACATATCAAACTATTGCGTCCGACCCGAAAAAAAAAAAAAGTTCGTTTCGCAAATTCCACCAGAGGAGTGACTGCTACTATCTGTCGGCGTTCAAATAAGCAAATACGAGGTCAAAGATCTATCCATGGATACCCATTTACATACCTATACACTTGTACCTATATATTATAATATACATAAGACCGATTAATTTGTTTGGTTGTTTGTCGTTACCGATATATCTATATACTCGTTCCGTTTATCTATTTCATCAATCGTGGTTTTAATAATAAATACACACACGTACATGCACAGAGTATAGGCAATCCGGAGATGAAATTTGGTAACATGTCTTATGGCGATAATATTATTATAACAACTTTTTAGCGTAACCCGAAGCTGTATGGAAATATAAAATATGTATAATACATCTCGTATACCTATCTATAAATAATATTATTATAGATACGCTCTTCTACAACTGTTTTATCACGCGTATAGTTATGTATACAGCGTTTTGAAAAGATCCGCGTGAAACGTCAAAACTAGTAAAATATCATCGATGTAACTTTTCACTTTTCACTTCTGCGCGTAAAAATATTCACTTTGTACAATATAACCGTTTTAGGTAACTCAAATCCGGTTCAGCCATCATCGTCGTACATCTGAAACGCACCTTTACTTATGTATATACTCTATACTCGTACTTTCATTGCCCTATCTATATCATCATCATGATCATTATTATTATTATTACTAGAATATAAGAAGAAATCGTTAAAATATTATGAAAGTAATTATTGGCTGCGTATACTGTATTATATTATGTATATATATATATATATATATATATCGTTAAAGCCGATAATAATATTATGAACTATCGAGTGCGATTTATCCAGCGCCCGCTTTGCAATAAGGAAGTACCGTTCGGTTCTGCAGTATACGAAATAAGAAAAAACTAATGGAATTGTGTGTATATAAATTATAGGTAGAAAATTGTTGATTAGTTGAATATATGGGGCGAGGGTTCGAATATAATATGCTGCAGGATTACTCCCGGATACCTGTGCACTACGATTGCCCTCGAGCACACAGTATAATATATCAAATAGACTATAATAATAATAATATAGTACTGCAGGTATTATTTTATCACGATCATGGAAGTCCGTTCCATAAACATTATACACACATACACACACATACACGTATTATTATTACATTATATTAAGGTTATAACACGCATTGAATAAGACAAGTACGCCTTTGGCATTGAGCCTGAACACCATAGAATCGTTACACGAAGCCTACATAGTTCAATAATAATATTATACAATCAATTTTATAATATAGCTACTATGGTTTATTATACTGTTGTGGATTATTAAAATACCTATATATTTTAATCGGTTTGAAACTGTATGCATGCAGGTATACGGCCTTAATAATTCAAATATAGAGTAGTTGTTTGACATTCGAACATTGAACGTACATTATTTCCGATATCAATCTCAATATTTAAATGTTTATTTAAGGGGTATCGGTGACGGTTTTCCACATTTTCTCCAGTTTTGTAAAATTCAAAAAATGTTTGTTACGGACGAATAATATGACGTTTTAGACCGAAGAGCCAGACGAATTTAAATTTTATAAAAACGTGTAAATATAATGAGATTCTTTAGATTCTTTTATTCGTCTTCCTTTCTTCTTCTTCTTCTTCTTTTGTCTTCTCATACTAGGTTAGTAGTCTATTGCAACCTTCATAGCTTTCAATTCCTCTCTTCGCATAGCGTGATCAAACCATAGCAATCGTTGTGCCTTTATGTAATTGGTTACCTTTGGGATTTGTGTAATTTTTCGGATTTCAGCGTTCGTTCTCCTTCACCAGCACCCCAACTCGTCATCACATATTGCACCGCGATCTTTCTCAAAATCTTGTTCTCGAAAGAGAGTAACCTTTTCAATCATAAACTGTTTTAAAAATTGAAATCCATCAACCGTAATTCTTTCAGTTTTGTCTGGCTTTATGGTATAAATCGACTGAAATATTGTACACCGTTATCAATCTCCATAAGAAAAATAGGTTGATATTATACCACCATAGAGCATTTAACGTTAACCGACCTCCAAGCAAATAAATAATGACTCAAAATAGAAATAACAAAGCATTTGAAAACTAAAATCGTTACATTGAAACTACACCGTATCGGACGCATTCTTTACCTATATATAAAAAAAATTACCTTCTTACTAAATAATAAATTATTATTCGCCAATTTTTAAAATTTCGTAACAATAATGTAGTGTTGTTTATTATAATGTTTCACCTCAAATGGCAAAATGCTAAACGGCCAAAACTCTGCGGGTTAAGTGATGTTATTATGTATATAATTCGTTCTATACTCAATAATCGTATTATTATTATTATATTGTCCATCGGGAGTATTATAGATCGTCTGGATTCTGTATAATACACTACATAAATGTTTGCCCGCAAATCGATTACGAAACGTCGTAATTTCGTCGTTAATCATAACCTTGACACTGCGTCACTTTTAACCCACAACCTCCGGCTGCGGAGATTTTTTTACCGAAAATACTGGTCGTACCTAAAGAATTTCAGTCTCAATTATAACAAATAATAATTATTATGTACATAATATTATCACACACACACACACACACACATACAAGTATACATAATAATTATCAATTAACATAAACATGCACACGCGGTGGCGTTTTATATAATATAGATACTTATAAATAAATGGAGGTGAAACGCGTGCGTTACATATACCTGACTTAACTAGGTTACGGTTATAATATAATATATTTTTGAGGTGAACGTGCTAATATGGGATGCTGATATACAAGGTAGTTATAATGTATGGCTTCGGGTGTCTATTATTTTCAGTTGTCACTGCGGATTATTTAATTGGCGACTCTCGAAAAACACATTACGATTTTGTAACGGGCAATATCAACTGCGAGTATCTGTAATACAAAATCAAAAAATGATCGTGTGCATCAACGAAGTACGATTTCAGGCTTCGTTGTCGTCGTCATTGGTTATACCTAATACTATTTGTTTTTCTAAATATTGTATAATGTGAACAAAAAATGTTCCCGTTTTTTTTCTCTGTCGCGAACACTAAATTACGGCGGCGGAGTGTATAACAAATTCGCTCGGAACCAAGTCGTTATACTCATAATGTATAATGTATATTATATATTTTTTTTTAATTCCTCGGCCTAGATTTGTATATACATAACAAGAGAATAACGACACAGTCAAGGACGACGTCGCGACTCGACATTTTTAACCCGTTCACAATTCGGCGCGTTAAGAAGGTCTGTAGATATATACGTGGTTAATGTGTATTTAAAATCTTTGTCTATATATACATATACCAAATATCTGCGATATAATATTATGTTTGTACCACACAATTCGGTCAGTAGGAGCTAAAAAAAAAAAACTATGTATAAAAAAAAAAGTATTGGTACAACTTACGCACTAATCAGCAACTGCACCCACGCTACTACGTGATGATTAATGTTATAATTCTATGTGGACTGTGACAACGTTCTTATTTTATTTCTCGAATTTTTTTCGATTTTTAAAACACATCTGGGGCCCCTTCCCAATCTATTAAACAAATAATAATATATTTTTATATTTTATAGTATATTTTATATTTTTGGTACATGTATGATTGATAAATGTTGATTAAGTAATTATTATATGTATTAGACTGTTAACATTTTAAAAAAACTCTGATTAGACAAGATTCTGAGTGGAGTGAAAAAGCTTATGGTTTTACAATCGTGTTTATTATATTTTTTTTTTTTTATCTGTGAACAATTTGTATACTAGAAATATAGATCCCATTCACAAGTATAGCACTTTCTCTAAAAGCAAATCTGACTGGGGTGGTGCTTTAAAAAGTCATTCTTTGATTTTTCCAGGAGTTTTTCCAATATATTGAAAGAAACGGAGGAAAACGGGAAAATGTACAAAATGTAGGTATTAGTTAAAAATATTAAAAAATGGGTATAAACCCATTTTTTTTGGCTGTGAATAACTTGTCTACTAGTAATCTTGCTCCGATTTACAATGCACTTTTTCTGAAAAGAAATTTGACTGGGGAGGTTCTTTTGAATGGTCATTTTTTGATTTCCCCATGAATTTTCCTAATAGATAAGAAAAACCAGGAGAACAGAAAAATATAAACAGTAACAGTAAATACATATATTTTATTAATCGATCGCCGATTTATATGAGACGTATATAAACGTACGATCATATAAAAAAAAAAATAATCCAACTACACTATAGTTGGACACTTCTAAGCCACCCTAAGATTCGATTATTATTAAATAATACGTAATCGAAAGATCCGCAGATCTTTCGTGATCATTTTTTTTTTTTATTACATTATAAAAACCAGATTAAACGGTATTTGAAATATAAATCAATAATCGAACGACAATAATATAAATTAATCGTTGCGATAAAAAATAAAATAATAATAAATTATATTTGGAACAGCATCAACCGGTCATAATAACGGTTTCCTTATACGATGTATTAATATTCAGATTCATATTTTTGAAATATTGCGCAACAATAATATTGCATACTTTTAATATTTAATAACATAATTACGCAATATAATAAATTAAGCGTTTTACATAGTCGTACATGACTAACACTCGATACAACTATACAAAATAAGATATGACATATTTAAAGTACTTTTCATTTTAAATTCTGAGCAAATCGAAGCGATTGGTGTTAATTTTTTGTGACCGTAAACAACTCTTCTATTAAAAAATTTTCAGAAAATCAAGAAATTATAAAACTGTATAGGAACTTGTTTGTAGCATTTTTAGTTGAGTCAATGAGTTGGATAGGTCATTTTCGATTTTCCTTATAGTTTTCCTTATACATAGGAAAACCTATAAATGCTTTTATATAATTTTTGTTGATTTCTAATAGGTTATCTTAGCAAGAGGGAAAAATACGTTTAATAATAATCTGTTCAAAATCGTTGCGTACAGATATAAATTAAATTATTCAATATATTACCCTCCTATCTAACTTTTCTTTTAAAACAGTAAATAACACACCCATCATCAGCTTGTATTTTTTAAACTTCCAAAACGCAGAGGATAAATAATAATAATTTTTAATAATTGAATTTTGTCTACATACTGATTGCTAAGATACCTAAGATACCTGACGTAGATTCTTACAGTTATTGATCATCATGATTGAGACATTTTCTAGGTTATTGCATTTCGTTGCCTCCCGTCTGTTTATTTTTATGAATTTTTAGTTTTATTTTAAACGTGCTATACATGGTTACGTACCTATACGATTTAGTTATTAATGCAGGCGTTCCTTGTTACTGTGTTTTACGCAGTATTATAAGAGACGATAAAAAATACGTAATATAAATAATATTATAATCAGTCGCATACGTCCGCTGCAGCCGTAATAGAGAAAAAAATGCATACGATGATAAAAATAACACACACACACACAGACGGTCCACTGCCCCGAGAAAAAAAACGCGTTTTCGTAACGCTGTCCATCGTTTTCTTACGCCGTTTTATCGTATTTAATACTGGTACAATAAATCGCGAGGGAAGAATCCTGTAATAATATATTTTATTATTAGCGTTTTACACAGCGCGATCACGTTACCGTAATCAGAGTAGTGGTATACGCAAAGGAATCTGCTGCAGTTGGTATTGTTATATATAACCAACCAGAGATATGTTATTACAGTACTGCACGTAACCACAACGCGACCGCAAAGTGCAAGCGTTGCAATGGCGTCTGTGAAATAATTTAACGATCACCATCCTAATAATATTACAATAACGATATATATTGTAATATTATGTTGTATACGCGTTAATTTTACAACAATGCGAATCGAGTGACAATTATTCGTACCTATATAGCACCGAATACAGCGTATGTGTTGCACATTCCGACGTGTAGAAAAAAAAAAATGGCCCGAAAGAGATAAATATATGGCCCCGGCTGCAATACGACGTACCTACCTACCCACCTACCTATAATATTATAACAACGGCAATAATTATTATCATTATTATTATTATCACTATTATTATTTATTAATGTAGAACACCGTGTTAGAAAAAAAAAAAAAAACACACACCCAAATCGCGGGTTAATCGCCCTTGACACGAATATATATATATATTAATAGTCGCACGATATTACCTATTATAATATATTAGTTACTTTTTTTTTTTTTTTTTTTTGTACGTTTGAACACTATTATATATACGCGATATAGTGTATATTATTATTATCATTATAATATAACCGTGCTCGCGTATATTATTTATTGTTCTTTGATATCTGCAAATATCTCTATAAAGTACAGTAGGTACCGATATAATATTACGTTTGTGCATACATTGCAACCATCGACGGGTTACAAGACGGTCGAAATCGTGAGATTCCGCATACAATATAGAAACGGATTGGTATATACTTATACCGAATACGAATAGGTATAACGAATAGGCCTGTACTTGAATACTTCCCTACTGACTAATCGTACTGAGACGCGAAATATTATAATATCTAAATAACGGGTGTTTTTTTGCAAGGAGGAAAAATAAAACGATATTGTCTTTATTGCTATCGCCACCGTTGTTTAATATTTATGCCATGAAGTACCTATACCCACGGTTTTTACATTTTTTGACGAACAGATTTCATGTTTAATTCGTGAGAAAATATTATTGATTAACTGGCATTATATTCTTACGCGAGAATACGACATCGACCCGTCCACGGGCCACAGAAAACAATGTTGATGTTTCGTTCAGCAGTAAATACAGATATCTATGACGGTTAAATAACTTTCATATCGAATTTTAAACTAACGAAGTTACAACGATACGTTATTTTATTATGATATACTAAATTAAGAGTACGCGGTGAGAAGCGTGGAGTTCCATTTTTTTTTTCAATTTCGAGATAATCGTGCTTTGAAAATATCGGATATTGAGTTTCGCATTTGGCGTAAAAATATTTCCACCGATGTTCAATAATATAAAATGTTGGTGATATATTATAACACATGCAACCGCCGCTATTGAGAAGTTTTGCTCTTCTGAACAATTTAAAAAAAATGTATTTCTTCCCTTCTTCTCTCGTGCCCATCAAATTGTCTTACTAATATTGAAAAATACATTAACGAATTAACGTCGGTGTTTTTACAGATGACGCTGAACAAAATGATCGTCTTTTTGACGACGAGTCTGGTGTGCACGGCTACGGCTATATTCCATCAACCGGCGTACTATCCGGCCGCCGAACCTGCGTACAACTACAGCGCTGGTAAGTCAATGGAATACAAACAATTCTGAGCGGAGTTTGGTTAAGCGTTTTTTGATAAGCTTAAATTGAAAAATGTATGAATTGGCAACTACCAAATATATTCAAATTGTCCGTATTTTTCGGGAGCAAGTTTTTGAGCATTTTTACGTTACCTATTAGACGCTTTAGAGAAAAAAAAAACATCACAACGGATTTTCGATATTTTTTAAAGTGCCATCATAACAACAATTTAGAACGAACTTTTTATCAAATTTCCAAGTATTTTTGAGAGTTGAAAATCAAAAACTATAGGTAAACCGAATACAAATTTAAAAACCACATTTCAAATCGGCATGAATAGCTTAAAAATCACTAGTATATTTTGAAAATCATACCATGGCTAGAATTGTTTTAGGTATATAAATTTTCTATGAAAATTCTAGGTCTCTAATATCATTTTCAACCGAATTATATAAAAAAATAAAACAAGCAGAATATTTATATAATATATAATTGTCATAATATTTATTCCCTAATTAGATATAGTTATTAAGAAAATTATAAAAATGACCACCTTAATGCACCACTTAGACAAAATTTGTTACTAAAAACCGATCTTAAGGTCGATGATCAGATGAAGATTTCTAATGTAGAAATGTTGTTAACAGACGCAAAAAAATAGTATCAAAAAACCGCACATGTTATAGTAGAACCTGCAATACGATAATATTCCTTCGTATACGCTCAGAATATAAAATATTGTTGAAAATATGTAAACAGAATATAATGTAATAATAATAATAAATTATAATGTCGTACAATATTTTAATTGAAGGATACTTACCGCAAGAAACTTACGGTCACCCTCTGGTTGCCTCGCCGTACCACCAAGGGCCACAGCCCGGTTTTGGTTTTGGCGGACCTGCCCCGAGCTCCGGTTTCGGACCACGTCCCGGACCTAACAAGTGAGTGACGCCGGTTTAAGTGCGCTTATTATACTTGTAAAATGTTTTTTTTTTTTTATTATGTGTATTTTATTTTATTTTCTATTTTACCAAACGCGTCGTATGTTGTACTTTTAGTTTCGGTGAAATAGCTTCGGCTCCGCAGGGTGCCGGATGCCAGCCACCGACCGGCCCTTGCCCAAACAATAAATACAGGACCATCGATGGATCGTGTAACAACCTTAGGTACACCAACTGGGGTATACCAAATTCTAAATACGCCAGACTTTTGCCGCCCAAGTACTCTGACGGTAAATTCAAAATATATACATATCTATGTATATATATATATTATATAATTCTAAAATAATAAGACATTCCACTTTTAAATGATACAATTTAATAGTTATATTTATTTCATTTTTTTTTTTTCAACGGGCAAGGCTCTATTTTTTACATAATGAATATAGTAAATAACAGAGTAAGATTGCATACATGAGTGGTTATAGTATACCACTTTATAGTGGATATACTACTCGTATGTACAAGAAATGTGTTGATTTTTTTTTTTTCCAAAATCCCGATAAATGCGAATTATTAATTAATTGTTAAATAATTGTTAGTTAATTATTATAAAATATTTTTTAATTTTATTTCAATCGATTAATTTTGCAGGTATCCACGCTCCACCCACGTCTGTTAGTGGTGAACCATTGCCCAGTTCCCGTCTCATCAGTATCGTTATGTTCCCGGATGTCCCTATCCCTGATCCAGTGTGGACACTCATTACCATGACCTGGGGTCAAATTGTAACTCACGATATGTCTATGTCTATGGGTACAACACAAGCAAGTATGTATATTATTAAATTTAAAAAAAAAGACGGACATACTCCGCACATGGGTGCACCCAATTTTTTTAGATAGGAAGTTGGGTTGGTAGGATACAGAAGAAAATTGAATATATATCTGTAAGTAACGATAAACCTTTGCTAACGAAAAAACGATTCTGAGCAAAGTTCAGTTGACAGTGTTGCTTTTTCAACAATACATATGCCATAATATGGTAAAATGATTACAACAATATGCGTTTCCATGACAACAATAACTGTTTAAAAAAGATTTAAAATAATAAAAACTTAATAATAACAAAAAATAAATAAACGGTTGACAATGACAATCTTATTTTTAGTCTTTCGGTCTTTTTAATCTAAAGAACCAGGTTTTCATCATTATCTCGAATATTAATGAGAGTTTTAAAAAACGACTTCTCTAAAGTATCACCCAGAAATAATTTTTTTTCGTAAAAAGTGCTATACTTGATAATCGGAATATGCTTTCTGGTAAAAAGTATTCACAAAAAAAAAAAAAAATAATAATAAAAAACATTATTTTAAAACCAATACACTTATTGTATTGTTCCACTCAGAATCTAAAATAAAAACGACAATATCATAATAACATAGAATTCCGTAAGTTAGGTAATGCCGTGTATTATATTAAGCTGATACTTAGGCATACTTAATGAATATATACTAGGTAGTAGGTACATGTTTATTTTGGTTTTTTCTTAAATAAATCTTTTAGTGGAGAAAGTGATTCTTTGACGTGTATACAACTGCCATACTTCACGAAGATGATATCCACATTATAATATGGTACTTATACGCGTGTGGTATTTTTATTTTTTTATTGCATATATTTATTACTTGTATATTATTTTGCCTAAAAGCCTCGGGGCCGGATAGTGTTGCAAATCGAACCAGTCCATTTTGCTTCCTAGTCGAAAGCAAAACAAAAAATATTATTAATGTTGTTCCTCAGGCTATAGGACATTTGTCAACTCCCATAAGAAATTATTAATTTTTAAATGACGTGACGTATATTCATATAGATAAGTACTGCTGCAATAATATTATTACACGTCTTGGTGGTATTTTTAAATTCACAAAAACAACATTGCTATGTGACTTAAAATAAAAACATACAGTTATATAGGTAGGTAACAGTACTTTTTTTCTTCTAAACGTATGTACGTTTGGAGACAAGCGTTTTTATTTTCACTTTTTCTCCACGATGATCTATCGTCGCATCGTGTACACGAGAAGACTTAACAATAATAATATTAATAATACAAGTCGTCTGTAATAGTGATTTCGTGATAGTAGAATTTACGCAGCAAACGGTCACGTTATCGTATTACGGTCAATAACGCGTGCAATTTATACACACGTTTGAGTATTATAACTCTTGCCAAACGATTATATTTAACACGCCCGAACGCAAGTTTATCACGTTAGACATTACTATATTGAGAACTAATGGTTGAAAATTAAATTATACTCCGTGTTTTCCGCGTCAACTAGAAACTACAACATCGATACGGTTTTTAAATAAATTAAGCTCGTAAATACGAGTACTATGCAATTTACGGAATAAGTACTCCCGCTGCAATGGTGGACATTTTCTCTTTAACGATTCAATAGTTAATAATCGCAGCTGAAACACTTTAAAGTCTGTAATTTTATTGACAGAACGCCATTCGATCAGATGTTGTGACGACAAAGGCCGTCTATTGAGTAACAACCCAGACGTTCACTGTTTCCCAATCACAATTCCGGAAGACGATCCGGTGTTCTCTAAATTCAACCGGGAATGCATGAACTTTGTACGTTCGACTACCGACCAGGAAACCGGATGTAATCCAGGAAACAAACCCGCCGAACAAGTAATTTCAATATTTCAAATTAAAATATGAATATGATGTAGGTAGGTTTGTAAATTTTAATATATACTTATTGATTTTATGTCAAAGTTGGTAGTGGTGTCGCACTGGATGGACGCTTCTTTCGTATACGGTTCAAGTCAAAAACTGGCGGATACACTTCGTGAAGGAATCGGTGGTCGATTGAGAGTAGAATTCAGAGATGGAAGACCATGGCCGCCAGCAGCAGCCAACAAGAGCGCGGTATGTGACCAGCAAACAGACGAAGAACCGTGCTATCAATTTGGTTAGTAACAGTCATCTATTTATAATTAAGGTTCAATCATTTCATGAAACTTAAATTTTTGAAATATTCTATTTCGATAAAAAAATAAAAATTTGCTTATCATTAATTTTTAAATTTGAAACTCTAATAGTAACTACGGCAGACATCTACTTAAGGCACTGAATGGTCCTGCTCTTAACTTTTTAAAAATTGTTAAGCAACAAAAAATTGAAAACATCTACAAGTAGTTCAATCAGTTTTAATTTTTGACGTTATAGATATTTGTTTTATACGACATAAGGTTAATTCGAATAAACAATATATCAACCTAATAAAGTTTAAAGTGAATCTAACTACAATATTAGTCAATATTATGACATAATGCAAAAACCAAACAAATAAAATCAACAAATATTAAAAACAAAAATGTATTTTTCATTATTTTATTCTCATAACTCTACTTATAATCTGGGATGAGGAATATTAGAATATTAGATAGGTATCCTCGTCTAGCTCCTTAATTTATTTTTGCTTCCTTTATATTATAATAATTTATAAAATATATATGAGTATATAGAGTAAGAAACCACAAGCAATGTATTCATTTTTTAGGCGACCGAAGAGCTAACCAGAACCCACAATTGACCGTTCTGCAAATCATATTCCTCAGGGAGCACAATCGTATAGCAACAGTATTGTCGCATATCAACCCACACTGGGACGACGAAACTTTATATCAAGAATCTAGGAGAATATTGATCGCTGAATTCCAACATATCAACTATCACGAATGGCTCCCCATCTTGTTGGGAACTGACAATATGTTAAAATACGGTTTATTGTACAAGAGCAAAGGATACACGAACGATTACAAAGAGAATGTTGATCCAAGTGTCATAAACGCTCACGCTCATGCTGCTTTCAGATACTTCCATTCGTCTATTCAAGGACAATTCCAGTAAGTCTTTAGCACGGTGTGTACAAAAACTGAAATTAATGAAAATTGTATTTATATAGCTTGATAGGTGAAGATCGTAATCTGTTGAGCGCAGTTAGATTGTCTGATTACTTTAACCGACCGACCATTATCGAAAAAGGATACAATTTCGATCATTTATCTAGAGGTTTGACAACACAAAGCCAAGAAGAAGTCGATCCGTTCTTCACCAGTGAAGTAAATAACACTTAAATATTTATAAATACTTAAATTGTACATTTTCACATTCCTTGGGGTACTAAAATAATTCTGTTTATTTATAGATCACAGACTTCTTATTCAGAAATGGTCGTCCGTTCGGCCGTGACTTGAGAGCTATTGATGTACAAAGAGGCCGAGACCATGGTCTTGCATCATACAATGACTTCAGAGAATTTTGCGGTCTACCAAGAGCACATAAATTTGAAGACTTTTCTGACTACATCGATGTTGAAGTAAGATTTGTACTTAAGTTTAATAAGTTTTGTTTCTTTAATGAACATTTTTTTTTTAGCGCATTGAAAAACTCGCTCTTCTCTACAACCACCCAGATGATGTTGATCTATCTGTCGGTGGTTCTTTAGAAGCCCACGTACCAAACACGTTAGCCGGACCAACATTTTTGTGTCTATTGACAGAACAATTTTACAGAACTAAAGTTTCCGATAGATACTTCTACGAATTGGGTGGACAAGCTGGATCTTTTGCACCAGGTAAGAAAAGTTATACAAATAATTAGCTACCCACTGAAATTACCTATTTAATAATGCATTATTTTCAATAATTTAGAACAATTAAACGAAATCCGCAAATCTAGTTTATCAAGAATTTTCTGTGACAACAGTGACGATTTACACACAATCCAACCTCAAGGTTTCTTGAAAATCTCTGAAAAGTGAGTACCCACTTAATTAATATTAAAAAAATATATATAATGGGTACCTATCACAATTATCCCTGCTGTCACGATTATGACGTGATAACCACATATAGGTAATTGCAATTAAGTACTTGATTCAGAATATCTACTGTTTTATCATCCCATAAAACATAAAACGTAATGCACATACAAAATACAATTAGAATAGAGCTCTCAACAAACAACTTTCTTACACACATATTCCCTTTTATTTGGAAATATTTTACAAGACATACACATTTCCAAAATAAAGTTTCAATTTTTTTTAAATATTAATGTTTCATGTTAATTATCATACTCTTGGAAAGCCTATTTTTTGTTGGGCGGTAAATACCAAATTTATAAAAAATTGATTTAAAAATAAAATGTTTTGATTAAAATAATAATATATAATTTGGATTTTATCATAATATATACCTACCATAGAACATTAGAACAATAAGTAATACACTATGTGATACACAAACAATCATGATAGCCAATAAGGCTAATAGAAAGTCGACAGGTATCACAATAACCAGCAAATACCATATAATGAAATATGTTATTCATATTTGTATTGTTTATAGGAATCCTTTGGTGAGTTGCAATGATTACGATAGAATTCCATCCATTGATCTTAACTACTGGAAAGAAGAGTCATACGGCCATGCAGCTCCGCAATATGGTTATCAAGAAGAATATAAAAAATAATTTAAATTTTAAACCAAACAACAAAATATATCTGTAAATAATATCCATTTTCTTCTATAAGGTTTCTTTAATTTTCTTTCTTCTTAGATCTTAAATTCTTAACATTCTTTAAAATTTCTTTGAAGATTCATCATATATATATATATATATTTTTTTTTTTTTTAACGCTCAAACCATATTTTTACGTGTATTAATTATTATTTAATTATTGTTTGATTTTACTTAATATGAGTGTTATGTATATAAGTATTTTTATACTTATGTCATTTAGTTTGTATTACATATTATTATTTGTATGAAAAATCAACAAACTTGGCATTGCTACCACAAATTATATATATATATATAAATATACATATACATATATTATATATATGTATAAACTCAGAAACAATATTTATAAAAAAAAAATAAATAAATAGTAAATGTTTATAGAAATAAACTTTAACCGAGTACTGTCAAGTTACAATGGACAGCAAATTCTTGTAAAGAGCATTTTTCAAAATTAGTTGTTGAATGTAGATAGCTACAATTATTATGTATTTATATAATTAAAATTAAGAACTTTTGAATTAAATTTTACACAATCAAATTTCAAAACACAACATTTGTATTATACATTAGACAAATAAAAACGTGATAAAGTATAAACTATATATTATTATTATCTTATGGCTTAGTTTGTACATTTTTGATTTTTATTATTGTCCGTTAAAATTTGGTCAGCAAATGATTCATAAGTAGAATCTGTTGCAACATATTTACCACTGTTTAATTCCTCAAAAATAGGTTTCAAAAGAGCATATGACTCTCTCACCATAGTTTCCGCAGTATTCATCTGGAAATGGTAATAATAATAATAATAAACAATAGAGTAAAACAAAAATATGATACAAGAACATTACTTCATAGTCACTAAACCGAATTCCAGTACAATATGATCTTGATGCCCTACCGAGAACAGCCGTCATAGCATAAATATATATGATTAATGTTGACAATCTTTCCATAAGCGCTTCATTATCAGTATTGAGTTGGCCAGCTGCATGACATTGATTAATGATATATTGAAATTTCAGTAAACATTGTTCACAAAATTCGGCAGGATACTGAAAATTTATAATTTATTCATAAGGTTACAGGCAAAATATATAAACATAAGATATCAATACCATAAGGGCTGGATGCAGGAATTGATTAATTTCGTACTTTAAACTTGGATTATTTCTTTTCATCATAATATTTCTATAAGCTATAGTAATGAATGAAATGTTTTCTTCATATTTAGATTTATTGAAATACTCCACACCCCGACTACTAATAAAATTGGCCAGTTCAATTGTATTATCCAAACTCTCAATTAAATCTTCTACATCATTGTACAAAGATGAAAAAGGTTCTTTAACTGAACTTCTACCATTTACAAATTGTAGTTCATGTAAAGTAGTACTGAACGTTTGGCGAGCAAACAATTGTATTGCAGCTGTTTCTAACTCAATATCAGGATCATCAAACCCATCGGTCATCCATGTAGTTAGGTATATCATGCTTTCGAGTGTGTAAATGTTCAATAATGATTTTCCCAATATTTTATGAACAGAATCATATTCTCTCAACTTTAGGTTTGCTCTAGTTTTTGGTAACACGCTCAGGATGGTTGATTGGATTACTTTCTTTAATGACGCGACCAAAGTAGAACAGGTATATAATTTACCTCTTTGCATGATTTTTGATAAATTAACATTTTCAATAGTATCGTCTGGCAAAACAACTACTTGTTTCAATTCTAAATCTCCATCACTATCTAATGTTTTAAGATTTTCAATTATGAAAGCTTTATTTTCAACAACAAATATTGAGAAAACATTTTTTGCAGAATTTTTCAAACAACCTGAGAGTTCCCAATTTTGGTTTGAAAGTAGTTTAGCTTTAACAAAAGTATTATTATTATACAGAGAACAGATAGTACCTGATGCTAGTACTGGCAAATATTTTGATTTTTGACTAGGCGTACCAAAGGTTTTAATAATATCGACACATAAAGTATGATCAAATACTACTTTAAATGTACTGTAATCAAAATGTTCAAAAATACGAGCGATTTCAGTATCGGAAAGATTGAGTCCTGAGCTAGGGTATGGGGCACTCATACCAAATAAACCTAGTTGTCGTATCGTATTGATATTTGTGCAATTGTGTTGTACTTGTTGCAATCTGGATTCCAAGTCTTTGTGTCTTTCTAAATTAAGAGTTTCTGGATATGTGAGTATTTCTATATCAAATTGATTGGCGTATATTGATTTTAAAAACGGTAGACGTGGAGGTTTTCTCACAATATCCGGAACAGGTACTGCTTTTATATTTTCCAATCCAGATGATTCATATTTTATGGATGTATGACGAAAAAAATGACCATCAAGTTTTTTGAAAAATGTACGACGATTTAGAAGACCCCACATTGTAATGATTGAACTAAAAAAATGATAAAGATTCCATAAAAGCGAACGTTGTTTTTTTTTTAAAAATAACACACACAAATTATGTAAAATTCACAATAGTCAGTAGCCACTATATAGGTGTAATACTTATAACTTTAGCCTTTAATGCACTTAATTTGAAAAATATCATTTGTATTATCACATTATTTATCTGTTAACGGTGATAACATTAAACCGTGATACGAGTCACGGTTATTGATAATCGTTATCTATAACCATGGTTTTTTAAACAGGTTTGGGAAAGAAAATCGGCAGAGTGAATTGATAATGACGTCGTTTCAAACCAAAAATATTTTACTGGAAAATTTTTTCGTCCGAAAATATTGTATACGAAAATAAATTTGTCGAAAAATAACTTTATCAGAACCGTATTTATATTATTTTATTTTTACATATACGGGATATCCACCTTTTGTCATTGATATAATTTATAATAGCAAATGCAGTAAAGTAAGTGATAAAGTAAACTTTACAAGATAAACACGAATCAAGGAAATAAACTCGTAAACATGAAACAGTAGTAGCGAGTAAACGATATTAATAATTAACAGACAACTATGATTTCCGAAAATAAAACTGTGAGCAAAGTTAGTTGGAAACGTTTGTTTAGCTAAAAAACTAGTTATATTGAATACAAATGGAGCGCGCTGTTGAAAAGGCAAGCCCCAGCATGGCTATATATATATATGTATTTTATATCTTCGGCCGCAGTAAACTCGCAGACAGATATCGTAAAAACAAATGGTTACTGAAATACTTATTTATTGTATAACTTACTGTATCTTACTATAGGGCACTGGTGTACCCTTTACAACTTGTTAGCTGTTGAATAATATACGACTGATTACATAATATACGCGGGCCACTAGCATGACAGCTGAACAGTTTTGTGCGTTTTACACGGCATAGATTGACGACACCGAGTAATTTACAAAATTAGTTAACATTGAGCACTGAGTAATGAGGGCTGTGGACCTGATGTATCGAAGATCCAAGTATATATTATGTAACCGAACTCCGTAGTAGAGAAATCAGTGTTCAGCGGTTAACAGATGCTATGTGATAACAGTGTTATCACCTTTACGGGTATTGTCCACCGAAATACGATTCTAACCAAATGTTTTTTCTGTACAAACGCTGTTCGGATAAAATATTTTTCTTCCGAAATACGGTTCGACGTAAATATTCGCCGACAGTTTTATTTCGCTGATAAAATATCATTGTAACAGAATATGTGTTCGTACGTTTAAAAACAATTATAATTTGGCGCGGCCCACTGACTGGTTTTTCTCGGTAGCTCGCCGGTTCAATCCGTACTTGATAATGACTGTATAGGAGGTGCCTATTTTTTTTTCTTTTTGTAATGGATTCGTGACATTTATAATAATCGTAACTATTAATAGTTATATTCTATCCTTGACTTTTTCTCGCAACCGATTTTTCTCACCTTTATAATAATTGACAAAAATATTGGTTCCGTATTTGTCCCTATCTTGAATGTTTCTCTCGGTGTAGATAGGTAACTGAGTTGATAGTAAGGTGGCTGACCGTCATTTTCAGATATTGTGCGTTAGGAACTTTCTGTTACATTAGTTGTAGTCCTTAAAAAAAAAAAAAAAAAAACTACATTCTATTAAAAACCAAAATTTAGAAATTACAGCATACATTTTACAACTTCATCTATCGCAACAAAATATTTTTTAGAAGAAGAGTAGAAATTCTGCTTCAGGATAAAACGCGTATGTTGTTATTTTAAAAAAAAATTTGAAATTATTTTTCTGCAGCTTTTATTATTTTATTTCAACAGTACACATTTTAAATGTGTAGCGTAGCGAAGGACCTATTGGTTTTACTATGATGTAATAATTTTTGTTTTCAAATTTTCCACGAAAAATCTTGCTTCATTGTATAAAGTGTAGTGCCTTTTCTTTAAGCAAATTTAGTTGGTGCATTGTAGAGGTCATTTCAGGATTTTCCGAGAGGTTTTCAAAATAATTAGGAGAAACAGGAAACAATTGTAGGTAAAACGGTAGATATTTACAGCGTGCCACGGCGTTACCGTGATTTCATTTTTTTCATTAATTTTTGCTAACTGTGTTTTCCACCAGAAATATTGCTTTAATCAAAAAAATGCCAAATGACCTTTTTTGTTAATTTTTGAATAGAGACGCACTTACGCATATATTTTTCCCGCTTTTTGTAACCACAAGAAAAACAAATTGTTGGCTTTATACATTCTTCCCATATCTATTAGGTAAACAGTTGGTTGGAGAAGATTTTTCTTTCATTTTGATGATAATATAATGATACAGGCAATGAATATTATTATGATAAATTGTTAAAAAGTTGTCATTTACTGTAGGTACTAAACATTTTTTGATAAACTTGAATTCGGACCTTCCTCCACATTCTCGAGAAAAACTTTTACTCGGCACATTTTCAGTTTTCAGTTACAATTTGTTGACAAGTCATGTGAAACGTTGCACTCCTTTACACCAAACAAGATTCTATCAAAAAATGAAATGAAAAATCCTCCCTCTACCTACAAAAAGGTTTTTTTTTTGGATTTAATACAAAATCGCCCAAACACGAAAAAAATATTTTACAAAAACATCGATGATATCGAAACAAAGAAGTTTATGGAGAATCTACAAAAATATATGTGCTCAGGAAAAGTCACAGAAGCCAGTGATATCAATCCTGTAGCTCTTAGATGCTCCGTTGGCGCGCAATCCAAATAGTTCCGGAACTTTTTGAACAGACCTCGTATACTAAATATCATTAAAAAAACTACTCTGTAAGCTAAAATAATTAATTGTAAAATTCTGTGTAATTGTACGAATAAATAAATAAAATAATCATTTAGCACCCACACAAACAATTTAATTGAAAAATGCTTAAATTAATATTTTTGTTTATTTATTTTTAGGGTGTATATTTTAAATTCTAAGTAGAGAGAGGAATGGATTGATTTTATTACCATTTTCTTTTTCTGTAAATAATTTTTGTATCAACAATTTTGCTCAAATTCAAAAATGCCAAGACTTTTTGTTGGATTTTGGTTCTAGTTGGTGAGCATGAAAGGTTTTTCGATTCTATATGTATTAAACTTAACTGTTGACAAATTTAGAAAGAACAGAAAATGTATAGAAATAATAGTTTTATTATTTTCAATTTTTTGGTACCGTAAAGTAGTTTAACTGAAAAACATATTATATAGATTATCACTCAAGAGATAAAGAAAATCTACTTTTCTAAAATGTTGAAAATGTTTAGAAATTAATAAATTATATTTATTTGTTTTACTATGTATTTTTTAAGATATGCACAGTTTACAGAAATGGAAAGTCACAATAGTAGATGAAAGTATTGGACTGCTAACTCTAATATGAAACATCTATGGAGAAAAAAGTATAAACCAAAATAATATAATCTAAGTATATAAATAAACTAATGAGTCAACTGGAATATTATGTGACCGGTTTCGAATTATTATTTAAATCAGTCAAAATCACAGTAAAAAAGTGGAGACAATACACATATAATACTCAAGGCGACTCGTTAATTTATATATTTTATTTATTATAATCTGCAGGTATATTTGTGATTGGAAGTGAAAATCTATATTTTATATAAATTATCAAAACTATTTCAATGAGGATATTGTTTATCATTATTTATCTAATTTGATTGTTTAAATAGATATTTGAAGAATTTGTTCTGGCAATTGAAGATAAATTTTAACTAATAGAATCTTTTTAATAAATAGGTGAGAAATTTGTTTTATAAAATTATGGCGTATAAATAAATTAAAATACTTCCAGGTAGGAAGGGGACTAAGGGACTTTGAAAACGTGATTGGTTCATTTTGGGTTTTGTTTATTAAATGTCAACCAATTTGGTATGAAAAATTGTCAGTGTAACCAATAAATCGAATCAACCACTAGTGACATTAAATATCAGTGTCTATTGTAATTGTGATGACATTAACTTTTATTTTCAAATTTTGAACCATTATAATGTATTATTGAAAATAGGTTGGATAATATAATACTAGTATACTATGTAGGTAAACAATATGATTTTTAATGAATCAATATTTTTTTATTTAGGGGGAGGATACAAGGGCAAGGATTAACAGCCAGCTTTCTTTATGGCATACACCCTGGGAAAATATCCTGCGCACGCCCATGTTTGAGTATTAAATAAGTTTCCAGTTATTTATTCTACTCCTGAAAGAATGTTTTGTACACTAAACCTATTATTATTACCTTATTACTAGAGACCAGATTTATGTAAAAAAATGTAATTTAAATCAATAGTATTAATTCTATTAACACAAAATAGTGAAAAGTGAACTTAAATAAAATACTAATGTACATATAAATCTGATAAGGGAAAGACAAATAAAACATACAAAAATAATAATAAATAACAACATATAATTTAATTTGTATAGTCATATATAAAATAAAACAAACAAAGTTAATGTTGTTATCTGCACATGAGAAGAGAAACAGTCTGTTGAATGAAGTGGATTTTATTCGAATAAACCTGGAAATAATAAAATATAATTATAGTAATCAAATTAAATAAATAATATAAGAAATTTAACAGTACAACAAATTTCCTCATTAGAAATTATTATCAGCAAAATAAATTATGATAATACATGCCAATTTATAATCATTGGAAATTAAAAAACACCAAAATCAGTTTAGTCATGAAATATCCATAGAGTAGGTAAATATTGTTTTGTTCATTAAGTACTATGTTAAAGATGAAACATATGATCAAATTGTTATATTACCTATTCATTAATATTGTATATATGGTTGACAAATAATAAGTCTTTAAATTACTAAATATTTGAGGTGCAACTTTTAAAATAAAAACAACACGCTGTTATAATATTTAAAAATGTTGGATCAATGCCAATCAGTTGTTTGCATACATATCAAGAATTTACAAAACAGTTTTCTTTATTTTTAGAAAAATTACAACACTGATCAACAATTTTAAATTTCCATATTGATGGTTAAAAGGTAAAGTGTGTATGCAATTAATCTTTTTGTATATTATTATAAACAGCAAGATACCTATATCAAATTAATCCAACCTAAACATCATGTATTAACATGTGGTCGTAAACATAAACGGAATTCATACATAAAGTATAAAAACCCTTTAAGTGTCTTATTAAATCTTAAAACGATTCGTTTCTAACATTCTAAGGTCGCAATACAATTTATTTGAAGTATCATGTTTTTCGGCTCTCCTAAACAATTTGGTTTTTGGTGCTGCCTTTTTAGCTTCTAACCACCAAATTATTATGACCATCTATTCATTTTGAAATTTAAATATATTATATATGTATATAAAAATTATAAGCATACAAGTTCTACCAACAATTATTGTCTTACAATGTATTAACAGCATTTGCTCATAATCTAGACTAGTAAAATATTATTTAAGTTAGTACTTTGAATAACTTGATAAAATACTGTTGGTAAACTAAAATTGTATTTACACAAATGTAATTTATTATTGAAGTGTATAATTCTTTAAATAGGAAGGTATTTAATTGGCAGCAGTTGTTTAGTAATTAAAGTCTTTAATCTTATTGTTTTGAATTTAACAAACAAGTGTTTTTTAATATGCCATTGTCTAAGAAGATTTTTCGGATATAAAGACCTAATTTTTACAATGTTGAGTAATTTGATTTTAATTCATTTTGGTTAAAGCTTTAAAATATAACCTTGCCTTCCAAAATTCAACTATGATAATAAATCTGTTTAGGTGGTTGTTGGATACCGAAATATTTTGATTGCGTTAAATTAAGGAACATGATTGCAACACCATTTTAATATTGAGAAAATAAACTTCTGCTGTTTTTCATTTTATAAACCAATAATAAAATAAATAAATAATTTAAATGAGTTTTAGTGACTCAATTATTTGTGCAAGCAATGTGATACAAGTTTAAGAGTAAATATTGGAGAGTTACTAAAAGTTGTCAGAAGTAGATTAACTACTTATTCCAAAATGTCTTTCGGTTTCATAAGACCAGAGCACTCAGTGATTTAATATGAATTAAACAAGACAAATAAAAAGAATCTAAATCAGGATAGACTGAGAGAAAAAAATTTCTGTTATAATATTGACTACTGATAATAAATATCACTCAGAAAAATCGGTAATATAAACGTTGGATCTGGTTGAAATCTAGTTAGTAACGCTGAGTTTTGAAAGAGCCTCTAATATAAAATATTTTTTATAAACTAGTTATTTGCAATGTTGAGATAAGACAATTGTGTATCCAAGATAGTTAAAACAATGCACAAGTACCACCTTATTGTACAATTAAAAAATTTACAAATAAACCAGGATAAAATACTAACCAAAGCCCATGTCATCATCATCTTCTTCTTCACTCTCTTCTTTCTTTTCTTCCTTCTTTTCCTCTTTGGCTTCAGATGCTGGGGCAGCAGCTAAATTAACAAACAAATAAATTATAATATTCATAAAAATGGTAAGTAATTTATTAGGTACAATCTAAGAACAATGATTTATACCTGCGGCACCAGCTGCGGGTGCAGCACCGACAGATGAACCGATGCTAGTGATTAAATCTTTTATACTGGTGGTTTCTAAAGCTTTGGCAAATAAACCAGGCCAGTATGGCTCAACTTCAACATTTGCGGCCTTCAAAATTGTCTGGATTTTTTCTCCCTGTATAAATTATTAGAATTAAAATATTTTCATGAAAAAACATCATCTAGACTTAAAATACAATTAGAGCCATATAAATAATTGAATAATAAAATTATTACATAAGGTTCAAAAAAAAAAAAAAAAAATAATAAGAAATAAATCTGATACCACCAACAGTTGTACTACGCAATCAAGAAACCCAAGAATATATTATAACGATAATATGATAATGCACTTTTTTCTACACAATATTAAAACAAATTACTTCAAAAAAATAGGTAAAAAGTTAAATCATTTAGTGAAATGTAGGAAATCCTTTATTAAGTAAATAAGACACCTATAGTAGTGCTTATAATATGGAAACAATTTATAAAATTCAACACACAAATAGTATATTATAAATTATAGTACAACATTCTGATTATGGAATAGTCAATAAAAATTATCATCAATTCACGTTTATTGATGTGGGCAGTGTAGATCAATTATAAATAATTTTAAGATTGAATATTTTTAGCAAATTTTTGGATTAGAGCACGTGGCTATTATCGTACATCTAGTTTAAAAATCAACGGGAAAAATTAATATTCTAACAAGTGGACATAGCAATTCTGTTAAAATCACAATGACAAGAGTTGTTACTATTATGCTGAAAGAATTATCCATTATCAACGACCATTATAATGGCTGCACAAGAAATTAAAGTACCTACAGTAATAGTTACTAAATATATTTATATAATTACCGTGACATCGACATCATCGTCGGCCAAGATGAGTGCAGCGTAGACGCAAGCGGATTGGGCTTTACAAATGGCCATTGTAAGTGGATTAAAACGGATGAAAATCGGAGTATCTGAGAAATTGCAAGTTGCCGTCGGCCTTAGCTCTGTAGAGAACAAGCAATTGACGCGAGAGAAATAACAACGCCACCATCGGGACGGTGAGAGTGGTAGGTGGTGATTCCGTGCCGGAACTACCAGTGTAACCAACGTGACCGATTGTAAACATTATAATCGGCGTTTTCAATATTATCATTCATTCAGCAGTAAGTTCGGGTACCGCGGTATAATATCAAGATTATTAAAATATATTTTCATATAATTATTTATAAATACTAATTGTTTGTACAAAATAAAGTTATTAATTAAACTTGTTTTTTATAATTTCCAGTTTTTGGATGTTTGTCACATGGTTTTGTTATTGTTATAAGATAATCATGGTTATAAGTGGTTACCGTATCTGTGTTGATTCTACTGATATGCCAATGTTATTTATTTGTTTTTGTGATAATAGAAAACATTTTGTAAATTGTCAATTCATCAATAACTTTTGTAATTGACGTTATAATTGAGTTTCTTTTTTAACTGTAATAACGTTTATTTGAGTAAATATTTCAATAAAGTTTTAAAATGGGTGACATAAAAGAAGAAGATTGGAATTTACCTCCGTGCAAATATGAATGTGAGACACGTCAAAAATGTTATTGTATTATCTATTATTATTATTCATTCACAAATGTAAGTTAGTTTAAAAATAAATTGTATTCCAATAATAATAAACTACTTAATTGAGTCACCAGCACCAACATTTTTATAGAAAAAAAATTAATTGACATTCGATAAACTCACTGTGTGAAAATAAATTTTATTTTACCAACATTTCATTGTATTGCAGTGTCTAATTAAATTACAACATATACTAAATTTATCAAATCGAAAACATTATAATTAAAACCATTGTTATGTATTTTAGATGAAGTCTGGTTTTTGGGTAAAAAAAAAAGTCAAAATATCCAAAAACTACTCTTATGTTTTCTCCCCTCTTTTACCTTATCAATGTTTTGTATTTAAAATTTCCATTTTCCCTCAAAAATATTCGAGATTATAAAATGTTAAAAATTTAAAAATCTTAATTCTGACTATCAAACTGACTGGTGTTGTTTTAAGTTGCTAAATACAAATAGAAAACCTCAGTAGAGTTTTTCGATATTTTGAAATTAAGTTTTAACTTCAGCGCGCCGCCAAATGAAAACTAGTAGTGAAAGCAGTATGTTCTCTTTTGAAACAGGGTATAGAGGTAAACTGTATCTATGAACAGTTAAAATTGGTCCAAGTATGCAAACTCGAATTTCTAAACCAGGCGGCATATTATTCTGGGGAACGTTTGGCAATCAGCCGTTTCATTAAGGGCAATCAAACATTTCACAGCAGGATATTAATCAGATGAGTTGTAAGACAAATAAATATGTATTTGATGTTTTTTGATATTTTGATTTTTAATTTTTTGACCTCAAGAGCCAGACATTTAACCATGTCATTTTTAACATTAAATTATATAACTAGCTACACAATATGTTGTATAAATTTATAGTTTACAGTTAAAACATAATAGTTGTTGAAAATTTAAATCTGAACCATTAAGTAGGTACCTATTTGTATTTCTAAAAGATTTTTAAAAATAATAACGGGTTTTATTTATAATATTCAATTTGGAAATTAGTGAGAAACATGAATATAAATATATTTAAAGAACTGATCAGTTTACTATATTTTGTAAGTTACTACGGAAAGTAATATAATTATTATTTATTTCTAGATATATTCTAACTAGGTAGGTGGGTGTGTACACTGTACATGTTTCGTAAAATATATTAATTTATACCTATATTTACAATTTAAAATTAATAACATTTGTGATTGAAATGATAATGTAATATTATTTGTAATTTAAGGATAATTATTATCTCATATAAAGGTTTTTAAAAATAGGTTGTTATATTGTGTTTACAATTAATATTAATTAATTGCTAAAAAATTAAATACCCACTTGATTATTAAATCAATTATTTATATTTTATTGGAATCTATCATGTTTATGATTATATACATTTTACATTTTTATTTTCGTTAGATTATTTTTTATGAATTTATTTTGTTTTAGATTTGGATCACACAGCTGATATTCAGTAAGTATTTTACCAGTATTATTATAATAGATTTAGACATGCCATAAAGAGAGAGGAATTAGAATTTTTTTTTTTATTTCTACCAAACATAAATCTACATACCCTAAATAGTGACACAAGTTGTACTAATTAAGTTGTACCAATGCAGTTGATGTTTGATATTGTTATCATTTTTTAGTATTTTTGTACTGTCTCACAATATATTTTGTTAAATAATGTGTAGTTTAGGGGTCTTAAACTCAAATTACCAACGGACCATACATTTATACATCAAATGTTCGCAGACAAAACATTTTTTTTTCTCATCTAATACAAAATCTAAAATAAAGACAAATCTAAAATTCAAATCTAAATTAAGACAAAATGTATTTTTTTATTGATTATAATTATTACAAAGATGTACAGTGTATTGATTTCTGTTTAATATTAATATTTAATTATGTTTACTTTCAAGATGTATTTGATGCTTAACATCTCTTATTTTGTACCAGACTGTAATTTTACATTAGAATTTTGACTGCCGATTAATTGGTAATTAAATTCTTATTATGAATGTGAATGTCAATTATAAAATATTTTATAAAACAAAAAATTTAAAACTTTTGAAGAAATAAATATTTACTGAGGGCTGCATATGACCCGCGCTCCGCTTGTTTGAGACCACTAATGTAGGTAATCCAAGAAGTCTAATATTAGATATGTAGTATATCTATGATAATTAGACATATAAATCAATCATTTTAGGTATTCATTAAACAAATACCATTTCAAATTCATATGATTCTCAAAAATCTAAATATTTAATTATATGCATTATGTTCAAATATAAAAAAAAAAATTGTTTTTTTTATTTATGAATAAGTCAAATCGAAGACATATTATCTAACTACCAATTAATTTGGATTAAAGAAAAAAAAAAACATGCAAATGCATAGAAATCCTAGCCCTGGTTATTATTATTAAAGCCTACTGCTTAATGAACAATAAATGTCTTGATAATGATACATCAAGCACAAGCAACATTCAACAAAATCTATCAACTTAATAAGAGTTAATACATATGATAATATATGAAATATTGTCTTATTACCATAATTAAAATGTATTTATTTGTTCAAGTATAAAATTAATCATTTTTTTGTTATTTTTGTAGATTACATGCGTGGGGTGATACTTTGTCTGAAGCATTTGAACAATGTGCTAATGCCATGTTTCATTACATGACAGAAGTTGACTATATAGAAATGAAAGAGTCTTATGACGTTGAAGTCGAGGGTCATGATATGATGTCACTTTTGTATAATTTTCTTGATGAATTGTTGTTCATATTTAGTGCTGAACCTAATTATATTGCGAGAGTAAGCTATTAAATACAGTATTTATGTTTAAATTATTGTTGTATACTTATATCTGTATTATTTCAATTTAGAAAGTACAAATAACAGAATTTGACAAAACAGCATTTAAGATTAAAGCTAAAGGATTTGGTGAAGAATTTCAACTTGGGAAACATCCTCAAGGAACAGAAGTTAAAGCTATTACGTTTTCAAATATGCAAATACATGAAAATGAAAATAAATGTGAAGTATTTGTAATTTTAGATATTTGATAAATAATAAGATTTGTTGGAAATTGTGATATATACTGCAAATTTAATTTAAATAATTTTCATTGGTCTTGTAAAGACAATTAATTAAGATGTATGTATCAAATATGTAATTTAAAACAACAGTGAACTCATTAGCTATTTTCATGTGATTTTTTTTTTATTTATTGAGAATAAAGGCTTCAACAACTAGGTCATTAGCCTACGGTTGTGATTACAATATTATTAATAGATAATTTAGGTATACACTGAGGTTACATGATTATGGAATAAATAGTTATACAGCATTTTATATTTACATCATATTTATCTTAATATTACATTTTTGTGTCAATTTTAATGGATTTGAAGAAGCTATGGTTCGAGTGTGAGTTGTGTTCTCCTAGTGCTTCCTTCATCTATGAAGGTTGGATATTTATACAATAATTCCACAAACCGTTGCAGATTCGTCTTGCACAAAAATGTCGTGTTTGTAAATAACGTGTTCTTCTCACTTGAAGTTAAAGACTACATCGATATATCTTCCAATAATTTTCCTGACCTTTGAACTTCTCTTAAAATCTTCGAGAACTCCGTCTCAGGATTCAATTCTTGTTCCTCCGACAGATCCAAATCCGCTATTAAGTTCTGAAGCTCTAGTATCATAGATCTGGATCTACCCTTCTAGAATTCTAGCTCTCATTTCATAGTCACTAACTAGTAACTACTATGTTCTGTAACCATAATTATAGGGCAAATAAGACCATATATTTTAAAAATATTTTCGACATCCTCTTTAGAATAAAAGAATTATTTCCATACATTTTCCATTTTTCTTATGTTTTACCATGGTTTTTCCCAGATATTATGAAAACCGCTTGGAAAATCAAAAATTAACCTTCCAAAAATCTGGACAACATTTCTCTTTCAAAAATGGTACCGTGCGTATATGTCTGAGCAAGATTTATGGTTGAATTTTTGTACACAATATAAAAAAAAATAAACATCATAGTAAAACCAATACATTTCTCACTACACTCAGAATCTAAAAGGTAGGTAATACAATTTTGGCTGATCTCTGGCTTTTTTTAATACTCTACTAGTTTAAAAATTGTATTTTACTGTCCAAAATTTGTATAGCTACCTAAATATAAATATTAAAGTTTTTGTTTTCATTTTTTTGTGTGTATATTTAATTTTATTATCAGTTAGAATTAAGAATGCACCTACTGACCTATTCTATTTTTCAAACTTGAGACAAAACAACTGATTCATTATCAATATTTCTAAGCCCCTCCCCATTGAAAAATCCTGCACCACTGGTCTACACTCTCTAAACTATAATCTATTTTATCATTATTTACTTACTTTACATTACCTACTTCACTTTTTTTAATTCATTGAAAAGTATATCGTATAGACTTCCTGTAGATTGTATAGATATTATAGGCTAAAGTAATATGATTTTTATTTTCCATATAAATAGAATAAAATATCCTTAAAAAAAAGTAGAAAATATTGAAAACATCACTATCGCACAAATAGTATAATTTCTTTGATCAATCTACTTAGGTATAAAATGTTATAACCGGAAAAAATGAATTGTTAAGAATTTGGTTTTTTTCTTTTAACATTTGAAAAAATGGTTTCGGTTTAGGTTTCGATTCATAATCAATACAAGGTTTCCGGTTATTTTCGGCCTGGTTATAAATTGTTGTATAAACATTTTTCTGTTAAATTTGGGTTTTTAAATTAATTTTTTTGTCAACTCATTTGGGAATAGTTTATAAGCACATTTTTAAAATGTGTCTATAATATATGGACTTTAGACAAAATGACTAAACGAGTTCCAAAATTGTTTTTTCATAAAAAAAAAAAATGATATAGGTAGCTGTAACTATACAATTTATAGGTACCTATATTGATTTGTTGAAAGTCAAAAGTGTTTTCAAAAGTGTGCTGCATATTGTAAGAAAAATCGATAAAAATCAACTGTTCATATGGGGTTAGTTTTAATTTATGTGTATAGAACAAAAAAAATAAACACATGAAATATGTATAATGCATATCTATACACGGTACATTTGCTACTGCATTATTTAGATATTTGGCAGTTGACCAGAATAAAATCGATTTTATTCAATATAACTTGAATTTTAATATAATTTCTTTACACTCGTTTTCGATATAAATTGACTAAAGACTAAACGAATAAATACAATATTATACAAAATTTAAATATTTTAAGTTAGGTTACTTAATTTCGTCATCATCAACGATGTCAAAGGTGGAAAAAAAAATAAAACAAAAAATATAATTTTTTAGCTTTCCATTATTACAGAACTATTATTATTATAAACTATGGAAGCTTGGGGGTTTGGAAAATTATCTTAATCCCAGCAAAAATGTATTTTAGTATTAAGTCAGTGATTTTGTAAAATAATGTAAAATTATGAAATAAAAAATTGCATAAAGGTAAAATGTTCTCTATCGGCCCTCAGGCAAACTAATAACAAACTTTAAATAATTATGATGGCTAGATAAACTATTAATCCAATATAAGTTATCAAAATGTTAAGTGAAATATGTTGAGATTGTAGGTCATCGGGTCACTTGAAAACAAAAAGTTTATTTTGTAGTTTTCAAATATACCTGCAGACATATTTTATATAGGGGATCAGAAGGGATGATTATACTATAAACAATAATATTTTAACTACTTTAAATAGACATTTGAACGCCAGAAAAAAAGAATATAAATTATATGAAATCTATACCAATAAGTATTTCAAAAAAGTTATAACAATGTGTTCTAAAATATTTATACTTTAATAATTTATAAAAATCGTTGTAAAACAAAATGTTGATACTTTATTTTGGAAATCCTTAATTTTATCTTCTTATAGGTAGGCAATACGAATTATTAATCTGTTATGTTGTAGGGACCAGAAAGGCAGCATAAAACATTCAGAAATACCTGAAAATGTTTTTGAAAAAAGATTCTAAAAATAACTATAATACAATATAATATAATAATAATAATTTGTTGCGATTTTTTTATATAATACAAATTTAAGGTATTGTAGGTAGGTACTTATAATATTTATATGTGAATTACGTACAAACTAACCTAATAAATGAATAGGTATAGGATTAGGGTTGTAAGATTTACAACCATGCATACAATTTTCATAACATGTTGGGGTAGGTACCAAGTAATAATATGTAAACGTTTCATATTTTCCTTTAATATTAAAATATTTAATGCTGGATATATATATTTTAGGTTAGGTAGTTATAATTGTATAAGATATCATTGGACACCAAAGAGTATCCAAAACCGATAATCATATAGGTTTTGGGGTTTATCACCAAACTAATCTATAGAAATTAGGTACACATCCATTAAATGTGATCCATTAAAGTGGGTAGAATCATTATCTCGGATAGTATTAACATTTTTCAGAATTTGTTTTATAGAAATTTTAATAAACAAGCAGCCTTACAATTTTAAATTCATGTTATTTTTTGTCATCCTTATTTTTGGAAGTAAAATAATTACCTACTTTTGACTTTAAAGCGGCGACTTATGTTAAAAATTCTATCAATAGGTGGAGTATTAGTTAAAATAAATTTTGGTGTTAACATTTTTGATTTCCGTTAACCCGTTGAACATTGACGTGATATTCCACTTATAAGTTTGGATCGGGAGTGAGTAGTAAAGCATTATTTATGTGGCGGCACGCTGCATGGTATTTTAACTATTAAGATTTTTAAAATTTTAAGATTTATAGCAATATGTAATTTTTCTAGTTACTAAATTACATTTTTAGAAAAAAAAAAAATGTTAAGTTAATACCTATTTGAAAACGATATAATATGTAAATCATATTGTTAATATGTTCGATAAATGTTATTATGAGTAATAGTATTTTTCTAATTTAATTTTTAAATTTAATTTATTCCTAACGGTATTGGTTTTTATAATTTAAACAAAGGTTGTATTATTTTCCAAATCCTAAAACTTTCAAATTAATTTCAAAAAATTCCTTTCGAGTGGAAAACGATTTGTTATTTTAGTTGTATACCTTTACACGTTTACCTTTATAGAGACAATACATTTTATTTACATAAGTTTTGACATTTGATTTATTGAATGTATGGTGTAAAACGTATGGTATAGGTACCTACCAACGTTAAACCAAAATCGGTCATGTGTATTTAAACTTGTTAGAAATATCACCGAAAAGATTATTCACCTAAAATAAAACCCCATGGCTTTATATGACTTTTGCTTATTAATAATAATTTGTCATATTATAATTTATAATATTGTAGAAGATCTATTTTTTTCAAATTCTAATTTCACTCTTTACCAAATGTTTTAAACAATATGTAAATAAATTTTATATGTATATAGAAGATAATTTTAAAAGTATATTATACAGCACGAGTAGGTAATTAAATCAAAAATGTGACTGGGTTAAGTTAATTAAAATAATTTTAGTAATGCGATTATAGCGAAAAGTTAATAATAATATATGTAATGGTAAAGTTAAATTTACCCAGTTACAAAGTTATGCTAATACATTGCTGATACACATATACATATAGTTGGTTATTTTTAATATATACATATGTTATATATATTAGGGTGGTCCTTATTTTGTCAATTTCAAAATTTCTTCCGGGACATACGACTATCTTGTGCCGTATAGTAAAAAAAAAAAAGACATCCTCAAAGTTTGAGGCCATTTGGATAATATTTAGTGGAGGCGCATTGCATTTGAACATTGAATAATACAAAAAATGCATTAAACTAAAGAAAAAAGTGTACAAAAGACCATAGTTCGTTTAGATTTGATTTTTTTAAAAAAACCAAGAACTTAATTTAATCTTACCATCTTAATGACTTTTTTGTTGTCATATACATGAGGATTTTTTAATTGAAGATGCTAAGAAATTAATAAACGCTTAATTACTTCAGTTTTTCTTATTTTCTTTTCTTGATACATTTTATAGAATTATTTTAACGTTTATAAAAAAAAAAAAATCTAAATAAAAAAATACTTGTAAAATACAACCCATAATTTATTTTTAATATGGCTTTGTTGCTATTAGTATACACTATACATATTATTAGTCTTGTCAGCCATAATTATTACATACAATTGTAATAAATAGCTTAGTCAAAGTACATTATACTTGGGTATTTCTGTGATGTTTTAGATATTTTGATAGGTATTAATAGTATTATAAAAATACGTAGTCAAGATTTAATATTTTTCTGTATGATATTATTAACTACAATAACTAAAAATACTAAGTATAGTAATAAAGTATTTTTAATTTGTTATACTGAAAATCAAATTATTGGTGTTAATTGGACAAGTATTGAATGTTTTATTTTATAACTTACATAAAGTCCGTGAAAAGCTAAACGATATAATAGATGCAACTTTAAAATTCATCAAAAATTGTTTTAAACAAATTTCAAATAATAGAAGACTATTGGGAATTTTTGGAGCTTATGGTTATATTCTTATGTGGTGTTCTTCCTCGTGGAATATCTTTCAGAGTTTCATGAGCTTTGCTAGATGGATGGCTAAAGCCATTTATAGTTATATAATTTTTATTTTTCAAAACCAATTTGAAATTAAAAATAAAGATTTAGATGAAATTCGCGTTATTTGTATCTTTCTTTCAAAGATATATGTAAAAGCTTGGATAAATTTCCCAAATGCAGTTGAAGCTCCATTTTCAGACTTTCAATCTCTTAAAAGTCTTTACTTATACAAGGATATCGATGAAAGTATAAGTCCTGTGACTATTGAACAATGTAGTAAACACTTATGGTATTTATGCATTATTGGCATTTTTTGATAAACGCGTATCCGTTAACATAAAGAAAAAAAATGTTTTTTGTATTAAAATGTAATATATCTGAAGATTCATTGGAAAAATTTGTTTACGCCTACAAAACTTTGAAACATTTATTAAATCTGGATTAGAACAATTCATAACTACTGAATCAGTTAATTTTTTTAATCGTTTCAAGATAAACATGGAATCTTTGGAAAAATATCTATTTTTATAAGGACATGATGAAAACTTCAACTATGGATTTAACTTATTAAACAAGTTAAAAGTTGTTAATGATTCAGTTGAAAGGGGAGTTAAGTTGATAGAGGAATATAACAACTGAATATCAAAAGATGAAAAAGAAAAAAAAAATACTGCAAGTAGTTTAAGAAGACTAAAAAACAAATACCAATAGCAACAAAGCCATAGTGTCAAAAATATACAATTTTGATAAATGTTAAAATAATTTCATAAATATGTATCAAAAAGTAAGAAAAACTGAAATAATTAATCGTTTATTAATTTCTTAGCATTGTCAATTAAAAAGTCTTCATGTATATGGTAACAAAAAGTCATTAAGATCTAAAGATTAAAATAAGTTTTTGGTGTTTTATTCAAAAAAATCAAATGTATTCAAACGCAATGTGTCTCCATTAAATATTATTCAAATGGCCTCAAACTTTGATGATATAATTTTTTCACTATACAGCACAAGATGTGGGGTGTTCCGGAATAAATTTTGAAATTGATAAAATAAAGACCACCCTAATATATATATATATATATATATATATATATAGAGAACAAATAAAAATAAAGTTATTACAAATAAACGTCTATTATCATGAACAGTTATCATGAATGTATATATTAACTGTACTGTTTAACACTATATAAGTATATTAATAGGACGTTATATCTGCATCTACTGTCTCAGTACAACTACCGGGTAACATGCAAAAATAATGATTGCTTAAAATAAGTAAACCTAGCTTAATTTTGAATTTAGATTAAAAGCACCAATTATTAAATTTATAGAGAATAATATTTTGTAGGGAATATCATAGGTGTTTTTTGAATTATGGAAAGTTACATTTATTTAAAAAAGGAAAAAAAGAAGGGTTTTGTATCTTTTATATCAAACTGTATATTATGAATAACACAAAAACCCTATGACATTCCCTCCAAAATATTATTCGCTATAAATTTAATAATTGGTGCTTTTACTCTAAAATCAAAATTAAGCTAGTTTTACTTATTTTGCGCAATCATTATTTTTGCATGTTACCCGGGGTAGTTGAACTGAGAAAGTAGATGCAGGTATAACGTCTTCTTAAGAAAGAACGTGATAATCACGTGTGTTGTCTCCGATTTACAAACGCATGAAATAACTATCAAAATTGTGTTTAGCACGCACAATTTTACTGTGGTAAGTTTTAATATTATAGAGTGACCTGTTATGAAACTTAGGTAAGAAAGGTAAGAATATTATCTGTGGAACTATATCAGTTTTATTTTAATATATTTATTTTTAAACGAGGTGTCAGTACTTTTAAATTGTGATATTTTACATATTCATATCTCGTTTAAAAATTAAAATATCCAACATAGTTGCACAGATAATGTTCTTATCTTTGAGTTTGATTATAAGTAAATTTACTCTAATATTAAAAACAACAGCATAAAGTTGTCCTGCCATATTTAAATTTGCTATGTCTACGTTTGTAGAGAGATAGTATATGTGGATATCACGTCTTAAAACAAAAAATAAAACAACAAAAAATGAATAGGTTTTTTTTATGGTAAGTACCTGCTTATTCAACTAAATATTTGGCACCTACACAATATTCACCACGAAATTTGCAAAACGTATTTATGTTTAATATATTTATTAAATAAAACATGTATAAATA